TTGCTGGTGTTTTAAATTCATTTATTTGTTATTAATTTATTTTTTGTTAACTTATTCTATATAATATATATTTGAATTTATTATAGTTTTATATTAATTTATTTCTTATAACTTATTCTATGATATGTGAACTTATTTTATTCAATTAAAATTTTAGATAGATGTCGTTAGTGAAACACGTAATTATACGACATGGAATGAAATAAAACAATCACCAGCTATTATTCCAGCACGTGCTGCATTAAATAGATTACATATTTGGCTTGCGGAACATAATTATACTCAAGTATTCATTTAATTATTTACATGGTTTTTGCTATAATTTTAAAATCGTTTCAAAAAAACGAATAATGATATTTATTAAATGAATAATTGATATTAATTAAATTAATTTAATTTTTTATTTTATTCAATTCAATTTTTAGATTTATGTTGATCAAAGAACGTCGGATATTGTAGCATTAACACGACATAATCCGATAACTCATGAGAAAGTTATCATGATTGCATATACGGCATTCAACAGAGATGCTATTTGTTATGATTGTCCAATAGTTGAAGATTTAACATTTACTGGTGATAAATTTTTAATGATAATTTTAATTCATTTTAATTTTTCCAAGAAGAAAAAAAGATCATTCTTTAAAACTATCAATATTTCTAATAATAAATATAAATTTAAACAAAAATGATTTGATAAATTTGAACAATCAATAAAATGATGATAAAATCATTATTGAAAGCTATCATTATTTCTAATAATGAATAAAATTTAACTAAAACAATTAGCTAATTAATGCAATATAAAGTTTATTGCGATAATCTGTTACCTTAGAATAATCATTAATACTAGAAAAAAATAAACTATAATGATTTTCTTCGTTTCTGTTCGAATATTAGTTTTTGTATAATTATCTTAAGATATATTATAATTATCTTAAAATAAATAATTACCTTAAAATAAATAAAAGGTATAAATTTTAGGTTTATTTGATGAAATTCTACTAGAAATTGAATTTCACTATACGTTTAAAGGAAATCCAGGTATATTCTTGTAAATTTATAATGAAAAAAAAATCGGAATTATTTGAAATTTTAAAATTTTAAAATTTAAAAAAGCTTCCTGCAGATAGTACGGATAAAATTGTTGGTTTAAATGGTGCTAAAGTTGAAGTTCGAGAGCATTTGAAACAAGATAATTCGAAATTAGCAGTGATCAAGCAATTTGAAGCAAATGGCAAACTTCACCTGGAGCATTTTCCTTCCGGATCAGTTATTGTTATAAAGTAAGCTAACTTGCTGCTTAATTAAGCTGATCGAAGTGATCGGACAAATTAGAGTAGATTAGACCAGGTGAGTAAGAGATGAAAATAAATTAACATTTTTATAGAGAAATTTTGATGATATCCTCAAATTATTTGTTCAATAAAATTGGTATAAATAATGAGTGCAAATTTTAAATGCTTATCATTAATGTAAAATGTAAGTTAAAATTTTTGATTTGAAATTAAATTTTAACAGGGTATCACCAATCAAGAAGGCAGCAGAAGCAATCAAATTGATTCGTGATTATTTGTCCGGAAAGAATGATTTTATAAAAACATGTAAGTATATATATGTTAATAAGTGATATGTCCTACCAATAAATATTTCCTATCAATAAAATATACGATTATAATAAATTCCTACCAGTGAAATATCCGATTATTCAACCTGAAAAGTTTCCGATAATAAAAACGTTTACATAACTTATTCGTTTACATATATAAATTTGCATATATAAATTAATGAAAAAAACGTTTACATATATAAATTAATGATAGTTTATACGGAATTTATCACTTAGCTATATATTTATAGTTTTTGTAAATGCATTGAAACAATCAACTCTACAAATTTACAATATGCTTCTATTTCGATGTGCCGGAGAAGATCAGGATGATTTCGGATCAGGTTCTTATAATGTACCTAATTGGAAAACATTAGATTATTGTGGCTTACAAGGTTAATTTTATTAAATTGTAAAATTTTTCTTAATTAAAAAACAGGCTTAAAAATTTATATTAATGGCCATTCCAAAGTTTTAGGAACAAATGATCTGTTACAATGATAATTACCTTCAAAAGTTTCACCGCAATGTCAATATATTGGGTGGTTTTTGAAAATGGTTAAGGATAGCCTAGCAAATGCTAATAATCAACTGTTCACATAGAAGTAATTCAATATGGAAAATTATCATTATCAGAAATTATCGGTACTAGAATTAATCAGCAGTATCATTGTTTCTACTGTTGTAGCCCAGTCACTTGAATAATACTTACTTGCGTTAAAATTACATGCTGGAACCATTTATGTGCATATCAATTTCCGGAATTATGTGCTTATTAAAAGGGAATTCACAAAGTGAAAATAATAACAATAATGATTAATACCAATAATAATGGTAGTAGTATTAAATAATAATATTAATGATAATAATGATAAATAGTAATAATGATAAAAATAATAAGTGATAATAGTAAATAATAGCAAATAAGAATAAATAAATAAACAATGACAATGGTAATAAAAATTGGTAAAAATAATAATAAACAGTAATAATTGATAATGATTAACAGTTATAATAAATAATAATAGTATTTAATAATAAAATAATGTTAATTAATAATAATTATTAATAATAATGATTAATGATAATTCAATAAGAATAAAAAAGAGATGCTAGAAAAAAGAAACTTTTATTTCAGGATTATTACCCTATCTAAATGATATCCGATTTCATAATGATCTTGGTCATCCGATATGTCAAAATTTACGCGATGGTTTATGGCTTTGTAATTATATTTATCATCGGCTTAGAAACCATAATCCGGTGCTAACGGAAATTGCTCGTATTATTCGAATTTTATTTCTACCACTTCGTGAAATACCATATGATTTAAGGCCCTGCTATTTTGAAGCATTATTTTCGTTAATATATGAAACAACATTGGAACAATTGATGAAAAAATTGAGTCCGTCAGTTTTTTTCCCTACAATTTTATTTATCTGATATCTAATATCACTCAATCATATGAGGAATTAAATATTTTTTTTTGCAAAGTAAACGATTTATTATTTATCCGGTTTTCCTGAAAATGATCGTTATCTTTTAACAAATATTTCAAAATAGTTTTATGCTCAAACAACATTTTGATTATCCAGCAAATCCATCGTAATTCGGTTCACATTCGTTTATTATCTATATCTTCAGGATTTTCTTTAATTAAATTGCAAAATTAATTGCGCAACAATTTTTGTAGACCATTTATAACAGCGTCGGTATATGTTCAATCATTAGCGCTATCTTCGGTATCCTTCCTTGGAGCAGTTAAAAATGCTAGATTGTCACTATTACCTGATGGATATAAAACAGAAGATGAGCAACCTTCATCACTTTCCGCTGGTTTACCACACTTCTCAACCGGAATTTGGAGGAATTGGGGACGAGATACATTCATCGCATTACCTGGTTGTTGTCTTGTTACCGGTCGATTTCAGGATGCGCGGTAATATCTTTAGATTATATTGTATTTACTCTCGCATAATTTATTTGTTTATTACATATAAGTTGTCATGTTTAGCTATTGTAGGATCGAATTAATTAATCTAATTTAATTTAAGGAAGCAAAATAATGGATATATCGATTCATATTTATTCCTTATTATTGCGACAAAAAAATTTTTATCCTTTATGATACTACTAATATTGTAACAGAATAAATCAAAATTTGGAATAAATTAAATTAAATGCTAAATTAATTAGATAATTAAAATAATAAGTGATTAAATGATTAACTAAATGATAAATTAAATACTTGGAAATTAAAGAATTTAATTCAAAAGTATTAATTGGAATAAACGAAACTAGATAAAGTGAAAAATATAACTCAAAATAATGATCACTGATTGAAGTGAGGAATAAATTGCTAATTGGATGCTGTAGCGAAACATCTATGATACTGTATTCTATAATGGAAATGTATTGTAGAAACTTAATTTTGTCATATGGTGGTGCAATGAGACATGGATTAATACCGAATCTTTTGGATGGAGGATACGGTGCACGTTATAATGCACGTGATGCTGTTTGGTTCTGGTTGTATTCTATTGTAAAATATATTGAAATGGTACCAAATGGTGCTGAAATTCTTAAAAGTAAAGTACTTCGTATATACGTCCACGATGATACCATTTATGGACATGATTTAACTGTAAGCAAATTAATTATTTGCATTAATTTTATCGTATAGTTTATATACTTTAAAAATATATTTGCTGCATAATTTTTAGTGTATTACAATTCGAGTAACTTTATTTCCAGAATTCTTTAGCACTAATTTTAGGTTAGTTTTAGGAGCAAGATCTTGCTGATACAATGCAAGAAACACTTATGCGACATTTCAATGGAATAGAATTTGTAGAGCGTAATGCCGGCCATAGGATTGATGAACATATGCAGGAATCAGGCAAATAATAATTTAATAAGAAACTTTAAATTTTACAAAATTTGTTTTCTCAAAAGAAACGATGAAATGAAGAGTAAGGAAGGCCTAATTTAGGCTCGTTTAACTTCGGCTTTCCTCTTTTTTTCTTCGTTATTGAATTTAGACGGTATATTTACGATGACATCTTAGTAAAAATCAATAATTTCTAGGCTTTCATGTAAAAGCATATGTTGATCACAATACGGGTTTCATATATGGCGGTAATTTATACAATTGCGGTACATGGATGGATAAAATGGGAAGCTCCGCAAAGGCTGGTAATAAAGGTTGGCCAGCAACACCTCGTGATGGTGCTGCTGTTGAATTGCAAGGCCTTTGTTTTGCGACAATTGAGAAATTGGAAGAACTGTATCAGAAGAAACTCTATCCATACGAGGGTGTTTCCGCTGGTTTGTATTGAAATTTTTTTTAACAAAATTTTATGAAATTTAACATTTTTTAAAGTTTCGGAAAATTAGTGCTTGCAAAATACTGTAAGTAATAATTGAATCAATATTTAGTAATTGATAAATTTATAGAAAATAAAGAAATATGGACGTGGCAAAAATGGATGAATATGATGAAAGACAATTTCGAACGCTTTTTTTACGTAACTGACGATGATCAATCACAATATGTAAATAGACGTGGTATAATTAAGGATACGTATGGTTCCAGTCAAGGTTATACAGATTATCAATTACGACCAAATTTCTCCATTACACTAAATGTGGTAAGTTTTATTTTGATAATACATTCTCAAAAATTTTAAAATATTTTTGATTAAAATTTTGTATTCGGAAAATTTAAAAAGGTTAAATATATTTTAAATACAGTGGAATAATTATATCATCAAAAATTCCGACCAAATTTCAGGCTCCAAGATTGATGAATTCAGAAAAAGCTTGGCATGCATTGCAAATTGCAGAAAATGAATTACTCGGACCATTGGGTATCAAAACTCTTGATCCAAGGTAATAACTTAGGCTCAATAATATATTTAACAGAAGACATTTACGACATTTATCAAGTTCCATGATTAAGATCACATAATGATCTTCTGTTTCCATTTCACTATACTAAATAACTAACTATCAACAATAATAATCCAACACAATTATATCCATATGTCAGACACAAAATAATGATCGTCTGTTTCCGTTTCTTTCTACGAAATAACTAACTGTCAAGAATAATAATCCAACATTAATTATATCCACATACCGGAAAATTGTCAAAATTTATTAAATTATTTTTTTTTAGTGATTATAATTACTGTCCATTTTACAATCAAGATGATGATAGTACGGAGAAAAAGACAGCACGAGGTTGGAGCTATCATCAAGGACCAGTATGTTTACAATTATCATAATTTCAACTTAAAATATCATCATCCTTAGAATTTTAGGCTTTAAATTTGAACTACATTTCATAGTTGAAATATAGAATTAAATTTAAAATTTTCACATCTTACCTCAATTTCTTTTTTGTAGAAAGAGAATTGAGATATTTTTTAAAATTTATGATTGCTTTTTTTTGAAATGAACAATTTTTTAAGGAATGGTTATGGGTGGGAATGTTTTTCTATCGAGCTAAATTAGCTATAGCAAAAGTGATCAGTGAAGATAAGAATGATATGGAATTTTATGAGAAAGCTAAACGATTTATACGATCACGAATGGGTGCTTATTGGGAGCATTTGAAGTATTCAAATTGGGCATCACTTCCTGAATTAACTAATGCAAATGGATCACCATGTTATCATTCATGTGGTGCACAAGCTTGGAGTATTGGTTGTATGTTGGAAACGGTTAATGAATTATATGAATTACACAAATTTTGAAATGTTAATTTTGGATTTTTCTTTTGTAGAATTTTGTTACATTCTTTGAGAAATATTTGATGATATAAATGATAGTATTTTCTTAGCTAAAAAAGATTCCATTAAAATGATAGTTTTATTTAGCTAAAAGACTAAAAGAGATGATCGAAAAGTGATCCACTAAAAGATCCACTAAATTTAGCTAGAAAAAAGAGATTCCATTAAAATGATAGTTTTACTTAGCTAAAAGACTAAAAGAGATGATCTAAAAGTGATCCACTAAATTTAGCTCAAAGAGATCCACTAAATTTTCATTGTTAAATTTCTTAAACTTTCAAATTTGTAAAATGAAAACCTGAATTATTCTTATAATAATAGGAAAAAAGGCAAGGTAGATATTTCTCATAAAGAAATTTTAAATTTAGAATAAATTAGACTGTTCTGAATTCATCATCAGAAATCTCTTTTTTTCATTAGTGTTTTCACTATTTAATCTTGGCGATTCTAAACTGCAATTGCGGAATTTTGAAATGGACGATATATGTATTAATTATCTTTATTATCTTTCCCGTTTAGTATTACTATATGGAATTCATTTTACTCGTCCTTTTCTTACCTTTTCATGATGACACATATATTATATTATCATGTAGGCCCAGCGATACTTGTAACCCGTTTCCTTATTAGAAACTGTAATTCAGAAGCTATTACTGTGCAAATTGGCCACATCATTGATCAAGTTGAACGAATGCATTTAATGCAAGTTTATAACTGAAGCAAATAATAAAGCCAACATGCACAAAGCAAATATCTGAATTTTACATAAGATAAATGTCAAGGAATGAAATACACAAAGAACATAGACAGTTGAACAATTATTAAGTTTTTGTATGCATTCGAAAGCATAGAACAATGGTATACCTTCAATTTGAATTTTTAAGTAGTGGAAATCCAAAATATTTTATATCCCTCCTCTAAGGAAATCAAACATTTTCATTATAAATCTCCGACACTACTATTTTCATCCTACGTAGCATTATATTGAGTCAGCACTCTTTCTATAACTGCCAGAATTAAATAATTCCAATATCACTTCGAAGAAAAGAAGAAAAATATCAATTCCGTTATAAAAACAAAATGGGGTTAAAAAGAAATGTAGTACATATATATTATAGCCTGAAAAAGTTCTGAAAAAGCACTGACTGTTCCTGTAATAATGCATATACCGTAATGCAATTGAGAATGAGTCTTGAAAAAGATATGACATCAATCACATAGAGTAATTACATAAATCTCACTACATTACAATCCTTATAAAACGATTATTGCTCATGCTGAAACAAATAAAAGTTGTGAAATTATCTACTAGCATCCAAAAGGTACAGAAAGAAAGTATATAGGGAATCAGAAAATGTCAGAAAAGGTCACTAAAATATTATCAGACAATAATATATTTCACCGATTTGCTTGCTCGCATGCATCGATCCAATCCGAATAGACATCAATTGGTTCAGACAGATAATTGATACTTGTTTGAAAATCCTCGAGGCATACTCGACATGAAATGAAGCCTACATTTCGTTCGCGGTCCCTAAAAAGGAGGAAAATCGAGATTAATACTGAGTTTACCAGTTTTAAGTTTTCGAAAAAATATCAAATTGCAATCGTAATCCTTGTTGAAAAACTGATAACAGATTTACAATAAATTAGGATATGTAAGAGAAATTAGTGAAGTGTAAAATACAACTTAGAATCCCAAACCGTCCTATGTGGCACTGATTTTAATTTTTAAGCATATCAATTATAATGAAAAGCCTCTTAATTCAGCTGAATTGGAGATCTTTCTTCTGTCCATATTAAAAAGCCAACCTTCTAGAAACTGCTCTACAAATCCTTTCTTTAGATCGATTTTAAGCTTATGAAATTTAGTAACCAAATCTTGAATTACATGTTCTTCAATAGCAATTACATGTTACATAGCAATTACATTTGAGTTACATGTTTTTCAATAGCAAACAACTTAGACTATTTTTTTCAGCTAAATAGTGAAAACACAAGAAATTATTTCAGCCATTCTATGCGCTACCCAAATACTTCACAATAATGTCAGAAAATTACAAGTTTTGAAATCAGCTTAAGCTGTCGAAACAAATATTTACAGTTGGAAACTGTAAATAAGAGACATACATTTTTACTTCACATACTCTTTCGTGATTGCAGAATGGACAATTAAATTGCGTCTCCAACGGTACAATTGGTTTCACTTTTGGTGGTGGCTTTCGTTTCATTTTACGCTTCCCCATTTCGATATCCTAAATTAACAACAATAATCAAAAGGTAGCTGGAAACCATAAATATTCGTCGTAATGAAAAGTATTAAATCAATTAGGGCAGCTGCAAAAAGTGTGTACATAAATATATTACACTAACCGGAAATTTCACATGTAACAAGTATAATCATAAATAATTAACGCGGCCCTCGAATGAAATTTATGCATCGCGTTATATTTCATTGGTTATTTATGTAACTGTTTGGATGGTTGTTCTTATATTATTTCTTGATAACTGTATTACTATTATGAATCCATTTAGATGATATATGTTGTGGAATTTAAAAAAGATTAGCTAATAAATTCGTCATTATTTTTCATGAAATTTGCCAAAGTTTAGATGAAAAAGAGAAAGATAGAAGATAAAGCATGATAAAATTATATTGACAAAGAATTTAAGGTATTATATGATTGTATTGATAAAGGATTGTATCAATCTTACACTGATACATGGAAATAAAAATTGTAACTGAAATCTTCCAGCATTATATGTGTTTGAAGATAAAGCATGATAAAATTGTATTGATAAAGAATTTAAGGTATTATAAGATTGCATTGATAAAGAATTATAACAATCTAACATTGATACATAGAGATGAAAAATTACAACTGAAATCTACTAACATTACATGTGTTGTGATATATTATGTGATAATGTTGTAACAAACTATAAATTATCCATATGGATAATTTATTATATTATCCATTTCAGATATTCGACTTAATTTACGGTCAAAGTGTCAAAAATTAAGGTGTAAAAATTAGAAACAAAATAATAACCTTTCAATGTGATATTTATGCTAATTTTTTGTAACATTTGTTAGATTTATTTTTTTCATCAAAACTTTATTGAAGAATGAAATGAATGAATTCATAAATTATTAATGATTTTAAAAATAGAAAAAGAAAATTGATAAAAACAACGAATGGAAAGGAAGGAATTGTCTTTTAGTTGAATTATAAAATTAGAATTAAATTGGAATTAAATTGGAATTAAAATTGGAATTTTCATTTTTGACTGAAAATAATTTATTTCGAATTTTTCAAACTTTTTTTAAAATTTTTTGAAAAATAATTCTGAATAATATTTCATTCGTTTTCATTCAAACAGAAAAATGAAACAAAAATTTTCATTAATTTCTTTCTTTTCTTTTTTTCTTTGTCGTAATTTATTCATTCATCTGTTGTTTACGACAACAATTTGTTTACAACTTTTTCAGGTTTTGTTTACATTTTTTTTAAAAAAAAAAACAAAAAGTAATTTTTGAATTTTGAAATAATTGTATAGCAAAAGAAGTAATTTTGATTCAACTTTTATGTAAAATCATTTTACATGTATATTTTTATCGTCCAAAAATAAGACAAGAAAAGTTGCAATAATTAAATAATATTGCTATTATTCGAATTTAATTAATTAATTAATTAATTAAAAAAATTATTGATTTCTAGTTTTTTTGAGAGCAAAAAAGTAATTTTTGAATTTTGAAATAATTCTGTAGCAGAAGAAATAATTTTGAATCAATTTTTATGTAAAATCACTTTACATATATATATATATATATATATATCTTTATTGTTCAAAAATTAGACAAGAAAAGTTGCAGTAATTAATTAATATTATATTGCTCAAATTTAATTAACTAATTAATATGATATTGTTCAAATTTATCACACTAAAAATTATCACACAATTTATAGCATTTTAAATTTATTACATTTTATTACGAAAATATATTATTTGCAAGAAAAATTTTTAAAACAAATTGATCGATGAGCAATTCATTGAACAGAGAGATTTACATTATTATCCGTTTATTATAATTTATTTTAAATGTTTAATTTTATTACATATTTTTAGTGATTTAACCGATTTATCATTTAAACATTTAAAAGAATATTTCATATGTCTGATCTGAAATAATCTTTATTGCACTCAATTTGTTTTCAATTTATAATTAAATTTAATTCAATATAGACAATGAATTTGATCATAAGAGGTGAAGATATTAGATCGTTGCTTTTTTTAAATAACCAAATTTAACGAAGTTTTTTGTGAGAGAGATAAGCTGTCAACAAATTCATTTGCTTCATTTGTAAATAGCAAAAATATTTGATTAAATAAGCGATCATTTATGTAAATGAAACAAATTCTAGATGTTAGTTTTATTATCATTCTCTAATAATCTTAATTAATTAGCATTTTATAAAATTTGACCATAAGAGATGAAGGAAGAAATTCGCAATATTGTGATGGAGAGATTTTTTGTCGTCTTGGTAATATTTATGATATATTATTTGTTGAAATCAATTTATCATATTTATTAATTATCATATTTTTAATAATTTATTGATCAACAACTCTCTCATCTCTAAAATTTATTAACATAGTCAAATGAAATGAGAGAGTTATCGATCTTCCGTAAAAATTTTCCGGATTAAATCAATAGTAATAACAAAACGATAGAGATCAAAGAAACAACAAAGTGAAAAAGTTATAAAGTGTTCCAAAATTTTAATTATCATACTTTTAATTATCATATCCCACTTATTTGCTAAATTACTTTTATTCAATTAAAAATGTAAAAAAATATTTCAAAATTCATATTACTCCTAAGTATTCAAAAAATACTTAGAAGTGATGGAATTTTGAGAATTACAATAAATTTTTAAAATATTGTAATAAAACATTTTCTACACTTCCACCAAGTATTACAATAAGAGTTAGTAAATAATGTTGTTATATATATAAAAAGCATTTAGAATAATTTACTTCACTTTAAAATATATGCTCACATTCAATATCTGCCTTTCATAATTTTATCATTATTGTGATTAGCAGTAATATCAGTGATATCGAAAACAAATTAATTCCAATTATCTAATAGTTTAACAGAGATAAAGTGGAAAAGACGGCTTTTCCTTTGCATTTAACAATACAAATTCTTCTTTTGAATTTCTGCTATCATTAGATAATTTTCTTGCAATGTTCTCTGATAATATCTTAACGTACAGCATTCACGAAATTAATATTCAATTCATAATTTATATTGATACATCACTTTATCGTCATTGTGCTGTGTGTTTTTCCAAAATCCCATCAAAGGCTTAAAGTTTCATGTCCGAATTCAGTTTCGGTCTCCGTATTCTTGTCCTTCCAAGCAACCATTTTTATGCTTTAATTAAATTTCATGGTTCAATTAGTAAAGAATAAAGAGTAAAGAAACAATAAAGACTCATTGAAGATATTCAAAAAATTTCCATTCAAATGCAAATTTTCTATTAATTTCCATATATGCAAAGCAATACATTTACTCTCTTCAAACATATATTTTAAATATCAAAAAAAAAATATCTGAAATAGAAAAACTTAAAATTCTGTTAGAAAATAAAGGAAAAAAAACTGACGTCCGATTTACATTCATAATAGTTACGAATTCTACGCTAAAGAAGTAGGAATGAAATGAAAGAGTGGCGTGCAAAAAGCAGATACCGTCATGAACTCTGAAGGTGACATATATTGTGTTGAAGCGTAAATGAAAATGAAAACTTCGAACACTTTATATAGATGTTGAAGAATATGCCGCAATGCCATTCACTGTATTTATGAGACTTTTATGGTTATGTCTGCCTTATCTTTGACGCAATGTATATAAGAACATATTAATAATAAGGATAACTGACCGAATACTTGGAATATAAAGTATTATGCTAAAACTTGCACTGTTTTATTCGTGTTAATACACATGCATATTATGAAACCAATACTTACAACATACGAACTTCTTCAATTCACAATATCCAGAATAGATAACTATTTATCTTAATCAATTTAATGAGAACTGAACAATTTCACTACCGGTAACTTACTTATACCCGTAACTTACTTAAGTGATGTGTAATAGTATCCAAGCTTGAAGTGATAATAGCACTATTTCTACCTCATGACACTCTCAATTTTATATCCTAACTTTATATTCTACGTACTTCTAGAAGATAAATCATTGAATTTGTGAAAAAATATGTTTAAATATGTTTTTTGAAAAAGGTTTTTGACAACGGAAGCTAGAACATAGTACTTGGTTATTACTTATCTTCGACTTGCTGCACAAACGAACAATAAACACAATGTTATTTAAACATACTACATGAGATCGACTTTGGAAATGAAGTACAACTTATTCCTTGAGTCTAAAACTTTTAAAATGTATCTAAAATTTCTAAAATACAAATGAAGGCAACATATCTAAAATTTCTAAAAGGCGGATAAAGTTAAAAAATGAAATGTTATTATCTACCATTTCTAACTATAAATCCTAGTACAACATTATTCCTTGAGAAATATGTCGAAAACAGTGTCTGAAATTTCTAAAATTGTTTCATGATTAATATAATTCAATGCTATTAACACCAACTAAATAAGAATTCAGTAGTTAGAAAGAGATCGTGGGAAGTGAAATTTAGGTATAAAAATGTTGCAATGGCTAATATAAGTGCCTCTTAAGAAGACGAATTGCTCACCGAGAGCTTCGGCTAATTCTATGAGTGACACATGCTTTTCGATGAATTTCAGAAATGTATCCGCATTTTCAGCATAACTCAACAATTCCTGCATGAAATCACCATCATTAGCCTATAATCATTATGGCTATTAGAAATAACTAGTTATAGTTTCTTGTTCTCAAATTTAAATTTTGGAGTAATTTCTCTCCAGCTTCTTTATGGGTTTAAAATCCATATAAATAAGACTAGAAAAAAAGACTGACATTAATCAATTTACGCAACGTATTTATGGTGATGTTTTCCTTGGATTTTTCATCGATATAACGAAGAAACTTGAGCATTTCGGTACGAAATCTGCAACTTCTCATCCAAACACGGTTTTCTAATACTTCGTAAAGATGTGAGCGAACAACGATGAAATCAACCATATAGGAATAATAAGCAAAAGTGTCACTGAAAATGGCGATCGAAATTTTTTAGAAAGTACGAAATGCAGTGATATGATTTAATTTAGATAGCAATTGTATTCACCTTTTTTTCCATGTTTCATCTCACATTGTTGCAAAATGTTTGAAACAAACAAAACAACATACAACAATCCACAGGAATAGGTAAGATAGTGAGGAAAGAAATTACTGGAATAGTAAAAAAAATTCATGGTAAATGCAATTGTTACCCTTCGATAAGTCTATCGAATATCTGTCGGAATGTCTTGGGACCATTGCGCAAACATTCATCTACTTCTCGCCCTTTTTTAATCTCATCTTGAATAACATCACTGTAAAACTTGCAATAATTCGAGTTTATTTCCATTTTTGTATCGACAGAATTCCTTTTAGATCTTCCAGCTTCTGCCTCTCCATTAACTGATTTCATCATAAATCGTGGATTCGAATTGCCTCTAGCCCAAAATGTCATGCATTTTCGATTTGGACTGCTATTAAACGATTTGTTGTTGGCAATTTCTGGAGTCACGATGTTGTTGTCATGTCCCACTTCGATCACTGCAGTTGTATGGTCAGTACTGAATACTAGAGACTTATTCATCGCCTTATGTGAGTAGTCATGCAAACTCTTGTAATTTCTGAAATTCTAAAATAACACATACAACTGCGATCTTTCAGCACATATTGATATTTTTCAAGCATTTTGTCCATCCTTCCTGTTTCTCCAACACACCATATATTATCGCGCTCATCAACTAAAACCACTTTTCTAGCTGTCCAAGGATGAGCTGCCTTATATGCTCGATAGGCCAGAATTTTCACCTGCAAACATAAGAAAATATTTTTGTCGTTTGAGAAGTATTGGTATTCGAACCGATTGCAATAAGACTCCGATATTAAGAGATACGCGGTCGATTTCGGAAGCTTTGCTAGATGCCTAATAAACCTCGGTCGACTGCATATAATAAGATTGAAATTTCTGATCCTCCAGAAATATTAGCAATATTTCATGAATGATTACCGAATATTAAACAATACCTGTCTTTGATCTGTCTAAAGGAGATTATTTTCAAAAAAGAATTGAAAAATCAGAACTGGTCACTGCAAAAAGTTAATATTTTACATTAAAAGAAATCAGATTTTTGATTTCGATAATTTCAAATAATAGCCAAAATTAACAGAAGATCAACTTACTAATGTTCCTACAGGATATTTGTTTGCTAGATTCACTTCATTTGATACATTCTTGCTTAAGCCGAATACTGTTTGAGTTGTCCAAGGACCACGAATTATTTCAATTTTAATGTATCCCGTGCTGCTTACTGCGCTAACAACTTTGCCTATGCCATCCAAAACAATGCTTTTATCATACCTGAAAGTTTTCTTTGGCCTTGGAATTTAAAAACTATACCTTGAATAAACCTAAAAACTTAAGATGTTTCTAATAAAAAAAATTTGATCTGTTTCTAATTTGTAGGTAGAAATAGAATAAGAAATTCCAACACTAACTTATTGTATCCATGAATTTGATTAAGAGATAATTGCAAACAATTTACTACATAAGTGATATACATCAATGTTAATACTACTCTTAATTTTGTGAATATCTTCATTACCTTATGGCATTCTTATAAGTGGGTAAAGCTCTACGTTCCCATGCTGATGGAATTTCCAAGCATGTAGGATTGAGCATGACCATATCGTTTCGGCATAGAATGAAAAACTTTCGGTGCTTCTCCAAAAAATGGTATATTTTTTCTTCAGTATTTCCAACTTCGTGTATAACTATCTGTAAATTATATTATGATATCAATTTATTTATGATTAATAAATATTGCTACTCCCTTTGTTCTTGGCACTTCATTATTTCATATTCTATTCACTGTTGTAGAAGTGAAGAAGTTAGCCACTTCTGTAGATGTACTCAAAGAAATTCATACCGATGCCAATTATCAAAGCTTAGAGAAATAACAAATGAAATTTCATTCTTGAAACTAAACTTCATCATGTAATAGCCAACATTTTGAGCACACTTGAAGAGCTACTCCATCAAAATCTCTCAATGTATATCACAAAGAACTAACACCATTAAAGCGTATGATAATTTGAAATACAATTTTCACATTACGCTTTGATTGATCGGCATCACATAGAAAGTTGACCAAATATCCGAACATTTCACGAAATTCCTGTGAACGATTCTTGACAAGATCGAACGATACTTCAAAGACATTAGAGCGCATTTCGATGAATGTTACCAGATCATCCAATGTTTTGAAATTATTTCCCTGAAATGTGAAGTAACAAAAGCTTAACCAACTGAATAAATTTCGAAAGAATCTGATGATTAATAATGTTTCTTTCACAAAAATCAAGGCATGGATATATGGACTGAAAAATACTGGACTGAAAAATTCATCACTCAATAATCCAATATCTAAATTCTACATGAAAAAAAAAGATAGACTCGAAGTCTTTACCTTATCAATTTTACTGACAACATCGTTCAAATGATTAAATGTCAAAGCACCACTTTCCGCAAGAATTCGGTCCAGTAATACTACTTGTTTCAATTCTTTGTCAATTTGTTCGCATGTAAAAACCGGTCTTCCACTTACATTATCCATCAGTCAGAAAAACAGGTGATACTTTCATACATCTATTAGTGATAAGTTAGAAGGACATAAATTAACGATGAGGGAATGGAAGAAAAAATATATTGTGAACGATAAAAGCTTGAATAATGCAATCGTGAAGTAAAATATCAAAAGAACTTAACAAAAAATATTTTCATTCATTAAAAGATATAAATTAATATTTTCGGTGAATCTTACACTTCTATATTAAGAAATAACATACATGATGAATATCAGAAACAAATAAGATGTAGCCATATAAAAAACTAGTAATGCTAAAATAAATATCAAAATAATACAGAATGGAAATCAAAATTAATATTAAAATTATTTTAAAATGATATTGACGAACATACTGATGGACGGATCCGATTAATATTCAAATACAAGAATTACCGTCTTATCACTCTCGTGCTTTACTCGAATTTCGATCTCTTCTCTATGTAAATCATAAGAAATTAATGCTGCTTGTCTTGAAATCAATGTTTTGAAATCAGCAAAATGAAACCATTAGAACTATGCCTATCTTTACTTCGTTTCTTTACGTAACCACAAGGAATGTATCTCACTTTAATGCTTTCCGGAAATCGAAGACCAAACTGACACTAAATTTTCCTCAGGAAATTTCAGCATCATATTCTCCGCTACTTATCCTTGAAAATGAATTCACGTATAACCAACCATTTCACAATCCGTTGCATATAGCAAATACGAAATATTCAATCCTACGCGAGTGATCCGGAAAAAATTACGGTAATTTATACTTCACTCTTTCCTCCAAAAAAATTGAGAGCAGAGGGGATGATTTGGTTTGCGAGGATTTGACATTAGAGAGTTAGAAAAATATTTAGATAGCGTGTTATATTGAATTAGAAGTGAAAACAAGATACAGCTGATATAGTGCGCAATGAGATGATAAAGATGGACAAAGAAAATTGGAAGGATATGATGCATTGAGGAAATGCTTTTAATTAGTTACAACTAGTAATTATAAGCAATGATTGAGTATTTGTGTTAGTTAGTAATTAAATGAAAACATTATTCTATCAAACTTTCAATTTTAAAGCCTTAAATTTGCTCCGGTTAAGGTGTATTGGTCAAGGCTAAATTATTTTGTCAAATCGGGAAGTATTCAAAATAATGAACGATCATTTGAAATGAACGGTCACATTTATTTTAAAATTATTTGCTTATTGCTTACACAAATACATGCATTGCATTTTCTTCTCATCACTGAGTAAAATACTTTCGGTTTTACTGTTGCTACATTCTTCTGAATATCGTTTTCCGAAACATTCCAATTTACAATTACAAGTAATTTCCTGTGATATTATTAACTGCAGTAATTCTTTAATTCGACGTATCTATCTTATCCATAAAATTTTAAATTTGTCCAGCTAAAGTATTCCTATATTTAGACAACTTTATCAGTAATTAATTGCATAGAACGTAAAATGCTAAAACAATAATTTCTCATTCATTTCGAATTTTATTTCAAATTTTTTCGAAATTTATTTTATCTCAAATTTTTTTCCTATTTTGCTTCGCTTTTTCATTTCAAATTATTAAGGCAGTTTTCATGTTTATTTTAAATATTATTTCAAAATTACAACGACATCTTTTGCCTTATTACAAATTTATAGTTAATTTATAGTTAGTTATAGTTCAAATTTATAGTAATTTATAGTTTATAATTTATAGTTACAGTACAGATGTATTTTAATTTTTGGAACTACAAAAATTAAAAGATTTCGCAATTTGTTGCAAAACTTATCATTATCAGTATCATATTGATTAAGTGATGATCGTAATAGTTTAAGTGTGATGTTGAAACTTACTTCACATATTATGTTTACTAAACAATCAAAGATAATTATAAATGAGGTAAATAAATGTCCTTCGTTGGAGCTAATCAAAGACATAATTATATAAATTTTTATCACTAAACAATGTGTTAAGTATTATATATGAATATTAATCACTAAACGATGTGCTAACTATTTTATACATATAATTTCAATAATCAAAGAATCAATTATATGAATATATAAATGTTATCACTAAACGATGTGTTAATTATTACATACATATAATTTGAAAATAAATATCCTTCATTGGAGCTTATCAAAGATTTAATTATATAAATATTATCACTAAACGATGTGCTAATTATTATATATAAATATTATCATTAAACGATGTGCTGATTATTATATATAAATATTATCGCTAAACGATGTGTGTTAATTAAATAAAATTCATACAATTTCAATATTTTGCAATTTCATTCAAATACTATGAAATAGAAATAAATGTGGAATTAATTGGATATATCTCATTTAAATTAATGTTATTCATTATCAGTTTATGAATGGTCAAATTTGAACATGTTGTAATCTGCAACAGTTGTTCCAAATTTTTAAAATTCTTTCGCTTAATTCTTTGATTAGCTCCAATGAAGGATATTAATATTTATCTCATTTATAATTGTTTACATTTGTAGTGTAATCGATATTTCGATAATATTTTTTTAATTCCACGAAATTATCCTACAAATTTCATTACCATATCGCATTTTATTCTTTTCAATATAAATTTTCTTCTGTGATATTTGCATGAAAACAAAGAAAGGTGTTGAAATTCATTATTAAATTTAAATATTAAAATTAATTCGAAATACGAATTACTATAATTTATAAAATATACTAAAATTCATCGTTAAAATTTAAATGTTATAATTAATTTGAAATATGAATTGCTATGATTAGTAAAGTGTACTAAAATTCATTATTAAAATTAATTTGAAATATGAATTGCTATGATTGGACATTAATTAATATTTATCCCATTTATAATTGTTTATATTTGCAGTATAATCGATATTTCGATAATATTTTTTTAATTCCACGAAATCTCAATAGCATATCGCATTTTATTCTTTTCAATATAAATTTTCTTCTGTGATATTTGCATCAAAAAAAAGGTGTTGAAATTCATCGTTAAAATTTAAATATTAAAATTTATCTGAATTACTATAATTTATAAAATATACGAAAATTCATTGTTAAAATTTAAATATTAAAATTTATTTGAATTGCTATGAATTTATAAAATGTATCGAAAATTTGCAAAAAAATTTTTCGTGTAAATTTTTTCAACATTTATTTTACTCATTCAAAAATGATTGATTCATTTTTCATTCAATCCATTCCAAACATTTTTGTTATATTTATTTGTGTTAAAATTATTTGAACATTTTTTTTTTGTTAAATAAATTTGAAAGATAATTTTTGTATTAAAAAAAAAATTTTTCACAAATAATATAATAAATATAAATAATATAATAATAATATAATATAATAATACAAATAATATAATAATGAAAATATCTGCTGATACGGATACGTGTAATGAAAATATCTGCTGATACGGATACGTGATCGTTCCCTTTTTTTTTCCCCTTTTACTTTTTGTCCAACCAATACAATTTTTAAAATAAACCATAAATTTTGAAGTTTGAATTTTTTGTCTTTTTAAAAGTTGAAAGCTTTTTTTTTTTGTTGTTGTTGTTGAAAAATTGTTGTTAATTAATATGAGAAGCAAAAATGCTTACCATTTGCTATTATTTATCTTAATGAAAATTTTTGCTTTAAATTGCTGAAAAGTTTAATTAACTTTTGTGAAAATTTTTTCTGCTAACATTTGAAGAGAATTATGAGGAAGATTGGAAAACAAAAAGAAAATTTCACAATGCAAAGCATTCTAAATCAATTAACAAATTTGCTAATTAATTCAACGAACGAAATTTTTTAATCAATTAATTTAACACATGTGCATATATACATGCCACACACACACACACACACACACACATATATATATATATATATATGCATACCCCTACGCACACATACATACATAACAATGATGAACTAAATACATCGAGAGTTTTTGATTTAAAAATAGTAAAATTAAAAAACAAATGTATGCACATGCATGTTACATACACGCACACACATATGCAGATACACACATGCAAGCTATGTGCACAAGCATGCCACATACACGCACACATATATATAGACACGTGCATGCTACACGACACATATACACGCACGCCACATACGCGCACACATACAAATACACACATGCATGCTGCACACACACACGCATCACATACGCGCACACACATATACATATAGACACGCTCATGCTACACGCACACTCACACGCACGCCGCATACATGTACACTACAAATACACACATGCATGCTGCACGCACACACGCCAATACACGCATACATCCCATGCTGAACCTATAAAATACATTTGAAAATTTTTTGATTTAAAAAATTAAAAATTAAAAAACAAAGAAAGGAAAGATTTCAATTGACCTTTAGCTTTTATTATAGCAACCTTTTTCTCTTTTCATACATTTCAGAAAATCAATGAAAAGAGAAGAGAAAAAGAAAATGATAAAATAAAATGAAATTTCATTTGAAAATTTATATATCACTTTCTCTCTTAAATTTTATTTTGCAAAAAAAAGATTTTCAACATTTTGATAAAAATGATAAGAAAAAGAAATTGATATGATAATTTAAAGAATAAGTTGAATTTTTGATGAAGCAAAAATTTTGTTCCCTGAAAATTTACTTGTTGTATGTGTTTAAGTGAAATGTTGAGTTGTGTGTGTGTGTGTGTGTGTGTGTGTGTGTGTGTGTGTGTGTGTGTGTGTGTGTGATAGTGAAAGAATTTGAAACAACTGTTTTCAATCTTTCTCGATATTTCATTGCTTTTGTCCATGGCTATTATAACTTAGTGAATTAAAAAATTATTTCTCAATCACTTCAAAACAATCATATTTCCTTCCAACAATAAATTATTTCAATTTAACACAATTTTCATTTCAAAATTATTTTTGCAAGAAATAAACAAACAAATGAATAAACGAATAAACAAACGAATAAACAAAAAGACAATGAAATGAATAATTAATAAATTATGCTAATGAAATTATTTGTAATTGTAAGCAAAAAAAAAAATAAATAAACAAAACAAAAATGAAATGAAAATTAATAAATTTAATAATTAATTAATAGTTAATAATTAATAAATTTGATAATTAATAAATTACGCTAATTAATTACTTAATTAACAAAATAATAGTTAATAAATTATGCTAATGAAATTATCTATAATTGTAAGGAAAAAAGGAAAATATGATAGTTTTATTTAAATTTTTTAAAATTGATATATGTAACGAATAAGTGATAGTTATTAACAGAATAATTTTTACATATGATATCAGTTTTTGATAAATTGATTTAATTTAAATAAAATTATTAAATTTCTTTTTTCTATTTGCAAACATAAATCTAATCAATTTATCATTAGTATTTTTAATCTTTAATAGTTTCTCTAATATTTTATCAATTATATTAATTTAATCTTTAGGATATTTTCTTTATCAGGTTTTATTCAACTCTAAATAACTATAACTTATTATATCTATAATAATTAATATGTAGTTCATTTAAAAAAATAACAAAAAAAATTTTGCAATATATAACTTGATCAAATATTCTTAGATCAAATCATTCAGGAGATCGCGGGAATAAATTTTCGTTTCCTTTTTATCATTAAACTTTTTTACTTTGTATGTTTGATTTTGCTTCAAATATATTCATGGTAAATTTGCTAGCAACCATATACAACCAATCAAGATAATTATTTGAATATTTCATAATTTAATTAATCAACCAATCAAAATAATTATTTGAATATTTCCTAATTTAATTAATCAACCAATCAAGATAATTATTTGAATATTTCATAATTTAATTAATCAACCAATCATGGTAATTATTTGAATATTTCAAAATTTAATTAATCAAACAATCAAAATAATTATTTGAATATTTCCTAATTTAATTAATCAACCAATCAAGGTAATTATTTGAATATTTCTTTCCAAAGAAATTCTATTACAATTGCACAAATTCGTTATCATTTATAATCCTTTTATAGTGATAATTAAATTTCTTAAATTATTTCAAATTTAAAATGTTGTAAACTTTTCTTCAAATAATAATTCAAATACATTTCAATTTCTTTTCGCAATTTTTTTTGAAATATTTTCCTAAAATTATTTTACGATGGAAAAAAAGAAAAAAAACAGTAATTAAAAAAATTTTACTAATATTATTAAAATAATAGTAATTTTTTTTAGTTTTATACTCTCTTTTTTGTTTTTCTTCATCAACAATATGTGGAAAAAAGTTGAAGGAAATATTTGTGTTTGAGAATTTAGAAATGTTGAATAACAACGTATATAAAACTTTTCTTTTTTGTGTGTGTGAGATTTGCATCATTGATATTTTCGACGTTTCTTCCACATTTTCTTTTACGTTAAAACATAAAATTTTTTTGAATCTAAAAGAAAATGACAAATGAAGAGGAAAAAGATTGAGGAAAAAAGATGAAATAGAATATATTTAGATATATTTTATTAATAGAGGAAAAGAATGAGAAAGAATTGTGAAAGAATTTTTTGTTGAAATTTTGTTTGCATTTTTGTTTTTTGTTTTTTTGTTGAAATAATTTTGAAAAGTTTAAAATTGTATTAACATTGAATAGTTTTTCATATGATGAAATATAGTATAGTGATTGGTTAAGATAAGAATTAAAAAAGTTATCTAAAAAGTAAGAGAGAGAGAGAGAGAGAGAATATAAAAGTTATGATAACAATTGTTAAAATTTCATTTGATAAAAAAATATACGGGAAAGCGGGGGAGTGATAAGATAAGAATTGAGAAAGAGAGAGAGAGAGAGAGAGAGCAAAATGTTGAATGTTATCTAAATTTCAGGTTAGATGAGTAAGATATCCGGTAGGTGAGATTTAAAAAGTTAAAACATTATATATATATATGTGTATCTGTGTGTATGTGTATTTGTTGAATCTTTCCGACAAAAGTTTAGAAAGTGGAAAAAGCGATGAAAAATGTAAGATTGAAGGCAAATCTCTTTTTTTTTCTCTTTTGTTATTTCTCTAGGGTGCTTTTAACTACTTGCCTAACTACCTGCCTGATCCTATCCATTCTAAAGTGCTAACTAAGCAAAGCAACTTAGGTTGTAGCAGAAAGCGCAGCTGTAAGCTGTAACTTTTATTCCTATCCTTTCGTCTTTCCTTCATCGCTTACTCGACCTTCTCTCACTATATCGTCTATCGCATTATAAATATTAGATTCAAAGCATCATTTATTTTGGTGTAGGAAGCTCGAGCAATATAGCTCGAGCTCAAATTTGAGCGCAAACTGCCTGATACTGCTGCTTGTATCAGAATGTGTGAATTAAAATATATGTGTGTGTGTATGTATGTGTATGTGTGTATGTATGTATCTGTATGTGTCTATATTTATGTATGTTGTAAAGTGGAAGGATGGAAGGTTGGAGTGAAAACGAAAAGCTATATTACATTTCACCTTCACTTTACGTCAACTTCAACAAACATTCTTCAGGCTATAAGGCATCAAACAAAAGGGAGTTGTGATCAGTGAAAAGTTTGCGGCGGTAATTTAGCAACAACTATTTTTTTTTAATTGGCTACGGAAGGAAGGAAGGCTTATTTGTATTTTGTTCAACTGATAAATTTAAATTACTTCGACAATCTTTCACAGTTTCATCATTTATATTTCTAAACTATCATTTCTGCTTTTGGTACCAACAGATAGCAGCAACAACTAATATTTTAACGCGACAAGTGTAGTAAAATTAAATTGCAAAACAATGGAATGCGAAAATAATCCAGCATGGCCATTTTTGCGACAATCGCGCGAACAAATGATTGCGGTATGAATTTATAACATTTTTCTTTTTCATTTTTTTCTGAATTAATTTTTAATTATATATCGCAAGTTCTTAATATCGCAAGTTCAACTTTTTCATCAAATAAATTATATCATATAAATTATTATAGCAATAATGGAATTTGTAATATGCTTGTAATATGTAAGATAAATTATCGAAAACTGATATTTTGATTTTTTCCTTTTATTAAGTTGGTGCTAATTAATTATTTTAAATACTAATATTATCGTTTCCTGATTTTTTTCTTAATCTATAATTTCATTCATTCATTTATTCAGTTCTATCCAATCATTATCATTCATATCTTCTTCACATATCATTATTTAGCTAATTTTGCTCACTTATCTCATTCCTAATTACGAATAATATTAGAATTACATTATCCGTAAAGAAATGAATTTCGATTTTTAATTAAAATTTAATTAAAATCAATATCAGAATTCTTCCACATATTCTTCATATATCTTTTCCACAAATATATATTTATGTATAAAATTGGATGTACAGATGTATATTTTCAATTCTATTCGATCATTATTATTCACTTATCATTTTCTCTCTCTCTCTTTTCTGATATCTTTGATTATCATAGAAGATAATGAATTTAAAAAAGTTAATTAAAATCATTCCTAAAATTTCACTCATATAAAATGTATTAAATTATTTTAAAAAAGTAATTAACATTGTTGATAAATGATTTGCAAAATAATTCAGCTTAAACTTCATATTATTTGCTTTATCAAAAAAATAAAATTGAGCTAGGAAAAGCCTTAGTTTTAAATGAACAGAAATGAATGAGATGACAGAAGCGAAATAGACAGACGAAATTAAAACGGATAAGATGAAAAGGACTGGTTGAAATGACAAACAGATACGGGGATCGGATGATCGAATGAAGAAGAATTGTGGTTGCTTCAATTTTCTTCGTGCTAAAAAGATATGGCGAAGAAAAGAGAAAAGAAAAAAAGGAAAGAGAGAAACATTTTGTAAAGTTTGATTTGAATGAGAAAAAAATTTGTAAAGGAATTTTATATCTGGAAATATTACATTTAAATTATTTAATTAAAGAATTTCAATATTTGAAATTGAAAAGATAATTACATTTAAATTATTTCATTTCTTTTATAATTAATTAATTAAAAATTTCAATTTCTTTTTAGTATTTAATTAAAAAATTTTTAAGAATTAATTTTTAAAAGTAAAGTTATAAAATTCGAACAAAAATTTTGTCGTATTTTAATAAGCGTAAAATTATTGGTTGAATTGTATTTCATTACTTACTTCTTTACTATTTCAAATTTTAATTTTATTATAATAATACTTTCTTTTTTCTCTTTCTCTTTATCTCTCTCCCTCTATTTTTATATTTTAAAATTATATTAAAAGGTATTTATCGCAACAAAGAAAGCAACCATTTCGGATCATCTGAAATTAATATTAACAAAGGTCATAATGATATCAAAGGTCGAGAAATGACTTGCTCCAATTTCAAACTAATCATTAAAGCATAAAATCAAACTAATTAAGTTAAAGCATAAGAATATTTGATTATGAGCAATTTTTTAAGGTTTATTTTTTTTCAGGATCAATCAAAACCGTACGATTCGAAAAAGAATGTTTGGATTCCGGATGCGGAAGATGGTTATGTTGCTGCGGAAATTAAATCAAGTAAAGGTGACTCTGTCACTGTTGTTTCTGCTCGTGGAAATGAGGTTTTTCTTTTGTTATATAATTTTTACAAAACATTAACAAATTATCTTTTCAAAATCGAAAATACAATTTTTTAAAATTACTTAAATTTAAGCATATCTTTTTGTTTTAGCTTTAAATGATAAATTTGATTATAATATTTGGTGACAGTCTTATTAAAATTTTTATTCAGTATTTTTGAACAGCAAATTTTATGCTAAAAAATTCTTTGTAACTTTTTTAAGCTAATTAGAATATCAATTTAATTAAACGATGATAAATTAGAAAAGAAGATTAGAATTAAATTTAACAAAACATACATTTATTTGTTTCTTTTGTTTCAAAAAATTTAAACTTCTGAGCATTCACTGTTTTACATATAAATGCATGAAAATAATTTTTTCAATAAATTAAAATCCCAAAAGTTTTAAAACAAAAGTTAATATTTGAAACAAAAGAAGAAAGAAATTAAAATTCAAAAGTGCTCATATATTAATAAAGTATTAATAAATTAAAATCCTAAAAATATCTAAAAACAAAATTTAACAAGAAGAAGCGATTTTTTTAAAAACAAAACTACAAATTATACTATAAAATTATTTGCTTATATTAAAATGCTAATTATTTCATTTCATTTATTTTAAATTACTTTCTTAATTATTCATTCTTTTTAGGTAACATTAAAAGCAGAAATTGTGCAAGAAATGAATCCACCAAAATTCGAAAAAACGGAAGATATGTCAAATCTTACTTTCCTAAATGATGCTTCCGTTTTGCATAACTTACGTGCACGCTACGGTCAAATGTTAATTTATGTAAGTTATCATCATTCCTTTGTATTTTGAAATTTCATTCATATCATAATATATTAGTGATATTTGCATATTTGTTAATTCATATTTCATTTTAGCAAAATTCGTTTTTTCATTTCCTTTCAGTATATTTTAAGCTTTAACTTTTACTCTCTTTTCGTTTCACTCTCTCCCTCTCTCTCTCTCTCCCTTTCCCTCCGTTATAAAATGAAATGAAATTTTAATTAATTAAAAGACATATATTTCTCATATCAGAATGGTAATCCTGTAAAGTAGAACTTAATATAAACAATTTATACATTTTCATTTTACTTCTATAATATGCATGTAATGTAATTAAATATTAGAAAGCTGTAATTAAGTAATGTAATGTAATTAAATATTAGAAAGCTGTAATTAAGCAATGTAATTAATTATTAGAAAGCTGTAATTAAGTAAATTTAATGTAATAAACTATTTAAAGATTCATGTAAATTTGTTGCAAATTAAGTAAACAACATACATATAAGTTTATTCCTATAATTGCATGCAAACTTATAATATAAATTTTTAATCAAATTTATTTGCAGACATATTCGGGACTATTCTGTGTCGTGATTAATCCATACAAGAGACTTCCGATTTACGAACCATCCGTAGCCGAAATGTATATGGGTAAACGACGAACTGAAATGCCTCCTCATTTATTTGCTGTTTCTGATGAAGCATACCGGAATATGCTTGTCGATCATGAAAATCAATCAATGTTAATTACCGGTGAATCTGGCGCTGGAAAAACTGAAAATACTAAAAAGGTCTTTTCATCTTTTTTTTTTCGATATTTTTAAATTAAAATTTTTATATAATAATAATAATGTAATTACAAATAAACAATTGTATATTGAAGTGTTTATATAACGTAAGAAAAGTATATGTAAGGATATGATACAATGATTCATTCATTTATCAAATTATAATCATTTTAATATTTAATTGTATTAGCTATTCTTTCTGAATATTTAACTATATTAACTGTTCCTTTTGATTATTTAACTATTCCTTCTGAATCATTGCATACCATGACAAAATATAAAACATAAGCGAAAAATTTTTTGAAAAACCGGAACTATTTATGATGATTCTATTAAACTTAATTAGATTTAAATTGCTGAAAATGAAATTCAAGAAGCAGAATATGCAAAATAATTTCATATTATTAAAATCAACATATGCCATATATGTATGATTGTATCCGTATCCGGATGTTGTTAGCTGGAAGTGTATTAAATAGGATATTCTTATTTACTGATGATATCTTTTATTATATGAAATGAATCAATGATTTTGCAAAATAATTTCATATTATTAAAATCATCGTAAGCCATATATACATATGATTATATCCGTAACCGGGTGTTGTTAGCCGGATATTCTCATTTATTGATGTTATCTTTCATTAGATGATTTTAGGTTATTGCCTATTTTGCAACGGTAGGTGCATCCCAATCACGACAAGAAAGTGCAAAAAAGGGAGAAGTGGAAGAAGCATCAAATGAACCGGCTAAAAAGAAGGTAACCTTGGAGGATCAAATTGTTCAAACAAATCCGGTATTGGAAGCATTTGGTAATGCAAAAACTGTCCGAAATAATAATTCATCACGATTTGGTAAATTCATTCGAATTCATTTCTCGAAATTGGGCCGTGTGGCATCATGCGATATTGAACATTGTTAGTTTCTGCATTAATTCTTTTTTTTCTAAATTTAATTATCAAATTAAAAACAAAAAAAAAATGATATTTTAATTAACGAAATTATTGCTATCATTATGGAAAATAATTCTATCATATTCTTAGTTATGTATCATCAAAGTATCATTAACGATTATGTTTCATTAATAGTTATGTACATTAGTTATGTATCATTGTAACGATTTCCTGATTATGTCTTCATTTAATCAATACCGGAATAGTAATTTATAGATGAATTTAATTTAGTTTTCAGTTTATTTTGGAATACTTCAAAAATATATTCTTTTAACAACTACTAAACTCATTCCCATTCTTCCTACTATAATAAAACTATTCAACTAAATTATATTATATGTATAAATAAAATAAATTAAAATAAATATCAAAAATTAATTATCAGATATTGTTCAACTTCATAATTTCAAAACATAAGCATTTATTTTAATTAATTATTTGTAAAATATCAAAGTGATTTTGAAATTGTTGAAAAATTTTTTCAACTAATAAGTAAACATTGTAAATTGTAATTTTTAATTAATTAAAAATTTTAAAATTTCACCAAAGAAATTTTGTATTTTAATTAGCATTCTTTTTAATAGATTTGCTTGAAAAATCACGTGTTATACGTCAAGCACCAGGTGAACGATGCTATCATATATTTTATCAACTGTATTCCGATTTTATACCATCGTTGAAGAAAGAATTATTATTGGATAAGCCATTGAAAGAATACTATTTTGTTGCACAAGCTGAACTTACAATTGATGGTGTGAATGATAAGGAAGAACATCAACTTACCGATGAAGCATTTGATATTTTACATTTTTCATTGGAAGAGAAAACAAACTGTTATAAATTAATGTCAGCAATAATGCATATGGGTAATATGAAATTTAAACAACGACCACGTGAAGAGCAAGCTGAACCGGATGGTACAGATGAAGCAGAAAAAGCATCCGCAATGTATGGTTTAAATCATGAAGATTTCCTGAAAGCATTAACAAAACCAAAAGTTAAAGTTGGCAATGAATGGGTCAATAAAGGTCAAAATATTGAACAAGTAACATGGTCAGTTGGTGCAATGGCAAAAGGTTTATATTCGAGAGTTTTCAATTGGCTTGTGAAAAAATGTAATCAAACGTTGGATCAGAAAGGTATTTCGCGGGATTTTTTCATCGGTGTATTGGATATTGCTGGATTTGAAATTTTTGATGTAAGTTGTTTAATTTGATTTTCTTTAATTTAAAAATTTTGAAATTAAAAAATGTTAAAAAATTTACATAAAAAAATTGAATAAATTTTTTCATTGAAATTTATAATTTAAATTCTATTTTGATTAATTAGCTAATTATAGATTATATTTGTAGCAGATAAATTAGTTAAATATAAATTATATTTATAGTGAAATTTTTAATGCAGACAAAAATTTTTTCTAATAGTAATAATAATAATAATATTATAATAATAATTAATAATAAATAATAATAACTTTTAATTTTTGTATAATTATTTTCAATGATTTATTTTAAAACATTAATATATTTAAATTTAAATTTTTATTTTAAATTATTGAATTTTTTTCAAAAAAACGCGATAAGATAAAAGAAAAAAAATTATATTTAAAACAATGAAAAATATTGGTAAATATATTTTTGCTAAAATATCAAATATATTTGATAATATTTAAGATGCATTGGAAATTTGATAAGATAAATGATTATAATGGGTGGATGAAAGCAATGATAATAAATCACTTCTCATCTTTATGACAACATCTACAGTTAATCATAATACAACTCTTACTGTACCTCAACTTGTCCAATTTTGTATCACATTTTTTGGTTAGTTCATTTTCTTCTTTCAACATAATAATTTGAATGGAGTTTTCTTTTTTCATTCCTAAAATTAAAATGTTGTAAATTTTCAATTAAAAAATATTTAACATAGTGAAGTGTGAATTTGATGTTAATTCAATTTACTTATGATAAATGGTCAGTAATTGGTCAATTGGTCAACACTGATGATAATATGATATTTAATCATTGCATTGAAAATTACACTGTTATCTAATTTATTTTACTTTTTATTTATTAGTAATTGAAGGAGGGAAAAAAAATTTTATATATTATCAAAATGATTTTATATTTTAGATGGTGACGAAGATGTAGGAAAGGATTCTTTTCCATGGGCATTATTTCACGTTCATGAATGGTTTGTTGACAGTTGTGAGTTGATGGCACATTTCATATCAATTTTTCTTGTAAGCAATTTTTTCTTCCTTTCTTTTTCTAAATTTTATTAACAAATTTTTTTAGTTTGATTTTTATTAAAATTATTCAAAAAATTATTTCTTTTTGTATTTTCAAAATTTTTTGTTTTTTGTTTACTTTTTCACAACTATGGCGATATTTATTGCCACCACATTATTTATATTGCAAATAGTTTGAATTAAAAATTTCTAACTCTTTCTTGGAAGCCAAAAAAGGATCACTTTAATAGTTAACTTATATTAATGAAGTTAATGGGTGGCAACAATAATATGATGAATTAAAAATTTCGAACTCTTTCTTGAAAGCCAAAAAAGGATCACTTTAATAGTTAACTTATATTAATGAAGTTAATGGGTGGCAACAATAATATGATGAATTAAAAATTTCGAACTCTTTCTTGAAAGCCAAAAGACGATCATTTAAATATTTAACCTTGAAGTCAACTGGTAACAACAATAATGCACTGCATTATTATATTTGGTAACAACAATAATGCGATATTTTTAATTAATTAATTAATTTTTATACGATCTATCAGATGGTTTAACTGAAGAAAATTCTTATGCTTTCAACTTTAAGATATCTGTAAATCGATAAATTTATTTTAAAAAGAAGTTAAATATAGATCGATAAAAGAATTACATGATGAAGGAGAAAAGATTTTTAGTTCTTTTTATTAAATCTTGAGTTTTATTTAAATTTTAAATCTGAATAATTAAAAATATTATGATTGATATTGTTATTGTATGGATAGATTGATGCAAGCCGTAATGACAATTATCGTAGATGATAATATTTTTGCAAATTAACAACATTTTTTATTCACTTCATAAAAGAAGTTCAAAAATACTTAGATCAACAGCGATCAACGTAATTATCATTAAATAAATGAGGAAAATATTGCAATGATTATAAATTATTTATGAATTTTTCTTCAAATTTTTTCACTATTCTACAACAAAGTAGAAAACGATTATTTTCAATAATTTTATTTAGGATGCAGTAAACGATAATGTTACCCGTTTACGAATATGTCGAGCAGTTGGATATTGGATCCGAATATGTCCAACACATTTTGATGCATCTTTATGTAAGCTTGTTGAGCGCCTTAAATTGCTAGCTATTTCAGGAAATATCCCAAATTCTGCTACACTTCTTGACCTCTCATCATTGTAAGTTTTTAATTGTTGTAAAATTTTTTCTTTGCTTATAAATGATTTGAAAAATTTTCTGTATGATTTAAAATTGACGAAAATTTTCATATTTATTTTACACTCATACTTTTATATTATATTTCTTTCATTCAGTTAACAAATGTTCCAATTAAATTCATTAATATTTTACATCAAAGTTTCTCCAAAATATTTGTTTTAGCAAAATTTCAGAAATTAAAAAAAAATTACTCCGAAAATTATCTATGTAATTGATAAAATTATTTGTGATATATCTCTAAAATATATATTTTGGCTCCATTTTATCAAACTTCATTTTTAAATATTTTTTGATGTGATATGATATGATAAGATATATATACATGATATGAATATGATGTATGATATTTTTAATATAATATTTTTAAATTTTAATTTGATATTTTAGGCTGCTACTAATTTGTTACCTGAAAGTTTTGCAAAATTTTAGTAATAGGAACTACATGATATGATATGATATGATATGTATAAAGTAAATACGATGAAAAGTCTAATTATGAGCCTTAATAGATTATTTGTTCGTGCAAGATTTAAGTGTTTTTCTGAGTGCTATTGATTGATTTCAGATCTTCTCATTCGTGGCTTCGAAATGCCTCTGTTCGAAATCCTGTCAATCGACGATGTTCGTTATCATTTAATCACTGGAATCCGGAAGAGATTGCTGTATCATTGAGTCATATTGATTATAAAGCATTATTTAGGATTCCAGTGAGTAATTTCCGGAAACTAAATCTTATTTTTTTAAATGTTTTGTCTCATAATTAATTGAATAAAAGGCAACTCATTAATTTAATAATTAACGTAAATTTTAGATCAGTGAATTGAAGCAGTATTGTATGGATGGCAATCTTTCACATACACCTTTCTTAGAAAGATCTATTTCAATTTTCAATGTAAATGATATAGCTTATTTTAATTATTTAAAACCTGATAATGCAATAATAAAACACACTTCAAAATAATTTTGATTTCTGTGATCTAAAATTAAAATATGATCGAAATTGCATAATCATAATCAAAATTTGATAATTTTGAATTTATCAATTTAGAATTTATCATTGTTAGGAAGGAAATGTTTTCCATATCATTTCGGATACAGTTTAAACATTATAAAGTAATGAATTACATATTTGATATTTTTTACTGTAATGATGAATAACTTTCAAGTAATCGTTCATATCGCAAAACTTAATTAATAATTAATTGCTATGCTATCTGATTGTTTATTAGTATCATGAAGATTTTGCAATTTATCAAAAAACTTTTCGAAATTTTTTCGTTTCGAAAAATTTCCGGAACAATTGCTTGAAAAGTTTTCAGTTATAGAGTTTATCAAACTGGGTACAATGTATGATATTAAGTAAGGAAACACCTGTTGAACGTGCTGAAATGATTACCAAATTCATTCATGTGGCAAAGGTTTGTTATTAATACTATCGAATTATCCAGTTTCCGATTTCTAAAATAAGAAAGCATGAATATTCCGGATTAGTCTAACACTTTTCTTTTCATTCCTGTTTATCTATTAACTGATCGATTTTATTTCATCTTTCAATCTTTCACCTATTATTTCTCTATCTTATTTTTCTTCCATTCAGAAAATTCCCCGTAACTTTGTTATTTATCCATGAGAAAATTAATTTTTAATTAATTGAAATTGTTTACAAGCTTATTAATTTCAAATATCTAATTTATAATTATATAAATTATTTTAATTTCAAAATCAAACTTATCTATCATATATCTTTCTTAAAGTATTTCTTTTATCTAATACAATAAAATGATTTCTAACACTTATCCTCTCTCTCTCTCTCTCTCAAATCATTCTTTTGTTCATTTAATTATATTTTATTGATTGCAGTGCCTCAGACGAATGAATAATTTCAATACATTAGTAGCTGTCATTGGTGGTGTAACACATAGTAACATTGCTAGATTATCAAAAACGTCATCTGCATTATCAAGTGAATTGAGAAAGGCTTGTTTTGCTATCATTTTGATCTATGATCCTTTTTATAATTTTTATTTTATGCTAAACAAATTCAATTGCTTATTTACAGTAGTAGTATGCTTGAATTTCCTCGAATGATACATTGAATGTATAATTTTATTATGCATTATTGCAAACTTAAATAAATAGCTCTGATAATAAAAATTAAATTAATTAATTGATAAGAAAAATGTATTGATAGATATTCCTCAAAATAACAAACACCAATTACTCATTTACGAAACAATAACAACAATTACTCATTTTTTAATCATTAACACTTTTATTAATTATTTTTTCGCTAATGATAATAAATTAAAAATTATTCTTCTTTCAATTACTTATCATAACAATTTAAAGATTATTATTCGTTCAAATACTTATCATTATTACTTATCATATTACATATTACTTATTATTATTATTATTTATTACTTATCATATTAGCATGTTAAATATTTATTATTATTGATAAATTTATTATTAGTTAAAAATTTTTTTCTATATGAACTAAAATATTCGATATTATAGTTGCTGTTACATTTTAGTTACTTTCAATAATATAATAAATAATTTCTTAATTCCATTAAATATATATTTACATTTTATATATAAATTAAAACATTATATATATTCATTTAATATATAGTATTTCATATGAAATTAAAAAATTTCATTGATTTCTTCTGTAGCATTTAATATGTATAAGTAATATTTCATATATAATATTAAGAGTTTTATATATTCATTTAATATATAATATTTCATATATAAATTAAAACATTTTTTATATCCATTTAATTTATAATATTTCATATAAAAATTAAGGTACTTTGTATATTCATTTTTATTTATTTATATATTTTAAGTTTTATACGTTTATAAACATTTCAAAATATTCTATAATACTTTATATATTCAGAATATTGAAATTTTAAATATCGTTAATTTTTAAATTTGTAATAATATATTACTACGATATTTTTCATATCTTACCATTATATATATGATTTGTAATAATATATTACTACAATACTTATCGTTATATATATAATTTGTAATAATATATTACTACGATATTTTTCATATCTTACCATTATATATATGATTTGTAATAATATATTACTACGATACTTATCGTTATATATATAATTTGTAATAATATATTACTACGATATTTTTCATATCTTACCATTATATATATAATATTTCATATAAAAATTAAAATACTTTATAATCATTTTATATATTTTTATATTCATTCATAAATCATTCCTACTCATTTATGAAATGTAATCATTTTAGCAAATATATATGAAATTAAAGAATTATTTCAGGAGCTTAATCATTTCACACAACTTCTTTCTTCAACATCAAATTTTGCTTGTTATCGTAAAGCATTGAATGAGAGTTCAGGATCATTTTGTATTCCAATCATGTAAGCATATTTAAATTATATTTTATTAATGAAAGTAAGCATTTTTTTAAAATCTCTATCTTAACTATGCATTTATATAATTAAGTTTGTTTTTGCAAAAATTCCGCCATGATATTTATTTTCTCTTCTAAACAATTAAAATATTTTACTATTAATTAAAATATGCAATTTTCTTTTGATCATTAAAACATTACTTTAATTAATTATCACATTTTGTTATTTATTTATTTATCATATTTCTGTTTGAATTTATCACATGTAAATTTGATAAGAATTTACAATAATTGTTTAATGAAAATTAACAATCAAATCATTCAATCATTTAATTTAATCACAATTATTGATTAGCCGATATTAATTAAAACTTAGATCAATTTTAGGCGTTAATTAGTCAGAAAGAAATAAAAGAAATTATTTCCTTTTTTTTAGTTAACCTAAAATTTATTTGTTATATGAAAATATAAGTTACATTAATATTTTTAATTTCATTTTATACTTTATTTTCTAGTATAAAAGAATTATCATTTAGTTAGAAATTAATTTTATCAAATATTTCAAATTTAGCAACTAAAATATTATCTTTCTTCAAAATTATTACTTTGAAAATATTTTTGTATTAGTATTTTTTTTTAATTAAAAATTAATTTATTAGTGATAAGAAAAAAATGATTAATTACAGGGGTGTACATTTGAAAGATCTGATAAGTTTTCTATATCAAGAATCATCAGGATATTATCGATCTGTATCACGTCGAAAAATTCCATGTTTAGCTGCTCATTTATCATATTTTATCAATTTTAATCGTGCTCCTCATAATTTTCCCAATGCTAACAATGATCTCATTGATACGCTTAAGGTATAAAATTTAATTTCAAATTTATTCTACTACGTTTGATTTGAATACATTTCTTCTTTCAAATTTTCCTAGAATTCAATTCAATTCTAAATTTATTCTAACTTTTAATTGAAATATAATGAAAATGATTTTTTTGAAAAAAAATTTTAACATTTCTGATAAATCGGATAATTGTTGTATTTCTTTTTTCTGCAGATATTTATAGTATAAGAATTAATTTTTTCCAAACTGGCAATAATTAAATTAGGAATTAATTTTTTTCAAGCTGACAACAATTAAATTCTATTCCTATTATATTCCATTTTTTTGTTAAAACAATAAAATTGCCTGTACAGGTTTCATTGGATATCAAATATAACGAAGATGATATTTATCGTCTTTCCCTAAAACACGAACCTCGTACACTTCTTAGCGTAAGTTTAGCACTTAAAAGTAATACCGCAAAAATAAATAAAATAGAGTAAATCAAGGATAATATTAGAAAGTAACATTTGCAACAGATTAGCTTATATGCAAATATTATCGGGAAAAAAAAAGTTATCGATGGTAAGATTACTATCTTAAAATTATTATCGTAAAGGTAAAGTTACTATCTTAAAATTATCATCGTAAAGGTAAGGAAGGTTACTATCTTAAAATTATTATCGTAAAGGTGAGGTTACTATCTTAAAATTATTATCGTAACGGTAAGGTTAGTATCTTAAAATTATTATGGTAAAGATAAGATTACCAAATTAAAATTATTATCGTAAAGTTACTTAAATACAATCACATAAGCATATATATCGATGAAATTTTGATAAGTTAAATTTTCATCAAATTAAATTACTCTCTTTGTGCATATATATTAGATAATAATATCTTTTTTTTCTTTGAAGTTTCAAAGTACAACAAAATCGGTATTATTTGCGGATTGGGCATCAGGCGTAAGTAGTACGTTGGATGCAGAAATTGTTAACAAACATATTAACGCAATGGTAGAAGCTGTATTTAAAAATTATGATCACAACAAGGATGGTTGTATTTCTCAGAGTGAATTTCAACAAATTTCAACTAATTTCCCATTTATTGCATCATTTGGAGTAATCGATACTGATAAGTGATTAGTTTCATTTCATTTCATTTCGTTAGTGATAATATATTTATTAGTGAGAAAATTTGAAATTAGAAGAAAACAGGTGAATGATTATCTTCAAAAAGTTTTTAGAGCATCTTCTAAAGCTTCTTCTTCTTCCAATTGTTTAATTTATTGATAAAAATTTATTTCAAATTTTTATTATTATTAAATTAATATTAGCATAAATAAATAATGTTTTATCTTTTATCATAGAGGATATAATGAGTGCCGCCGATTTGATGAAATTAGATTTAAAATTTTTATGAAAATAATATATTGAAAATTTATGGTAATGTGTAATTGTTACTGAGATTGAACTTATTATTATTAATGTTATTGAAATTATGTTATAGTTCGAAGACAGAATTTATTACCATTTATTATCATTAATGATATTGAAATTATGTTATAGTTTGAAGATAGAACTTATTATCATTTATTATCATTAATGTTATTGAAATTATGTTATAGTTCGAAGACAGAATTTATTACCATTTATTATCATTAATGATATTGAAATTATGTTATAGTTTATAGTTTTAAAATTTTCAAACCTAAATTCATCTATTATGTGCATCTAATAATTCATATAATTGATAAAATATAAAATAACTCAAAAGTACTATAAAATAAACAAATAATAAATTAAGTTTATGAATTCACTACTGCTGATAATAGCAATGATAATGATGATATCATCATTTATTAGATTTATAAATTCACTTATATGACAACTCTAAAGCTATTTCTATTAGAGCACGAATAAATGATATTCATGGATAAATTACCTTGATGAATGAATTCATAAATTTTAGATGATATTAATGGATAAATTATCTTGATAAATGATGAATAATATCAGTGGATAAATTACCTTGATGAATGAATTCATAAATTTTAGATGATATTAATGGATAAATTACCTTGATAAATGATAAATGATATTCAAAGATAAATTACCTTGATAAATGATAAATGATATTAATGGATAAATTACCTTGATAAATGATAAATGATTAAGTTTTGGGATTTTTATTTCGAAAAAATTTTGGAAAATAACAATTATGAGTTATTTAATTACTTAATTATCAAATATAAATAATATTGAAAAAATTTCTTATTTGCAGGGATGGTGTCATCAGTAAATGTGAAATGAGCGCATATTTTATTCAAATTTGCAAACAATCGATAGATTTTCGTCGTGAATTTCAGCATAATTTTTATGAAACAAATTTTTTAACACCTACAATATGTGCTCATTGTGATAAATTAGTAAGTTATTGTTTTATTTTTTTGAAAGAGTTAATTGATAATTGGTACTTAGGAGTATATTAAGTACCAATACTAATTCATAGGTTTCAAATTATGAATAAATTTCATCATCCTACTTTTTAACTTTTTAAATAATACTTATAAAATACTTTATCAGAAATGTTTAACTTATTCAAAGAGTTAATTGATAATTGATCGATTAATTGATTTTTGCTAATTTAATTTGTTAATTGATTGTACTTAGGAGCATATTAAGTATTAGTATCAATTCATAGGTTTCAAATTATGAATAAATTTCATCACCATACTTTTTAACTTTTTAAATAATACTTCCAAAATATCAGGAATGTCAGAAATGCTTAAGTTATTCAGGGAGTTAATTGATAATTGGTACTTAAGAGCATATTAATTACCAATATCAATTCATAGGTTCTAAATTATAAACAAATTTCATCATCGTACTTTTCAACTTTTTGAATAATACTTTTAAAATACTTTGTCAGAAATGCTTAACTTATTAAAAGAGTTAATTGAAAATTGGTATTTAGGAACGTATTAAGTACCAATCTCAATTCATAGGTTTCAAATTATTAATAAATTTCATCATCGTACTTTTTAACTTTTAAACTAATACTTTCAGAATACTTTATCAGAAATGTTGAACTTATCTCTTTCTCATTTCCAAGAATATTTCGTTTTTCCTTTAGTTTACACATCTATAAAATATAATAACTTTAAAGCATAGGATGAAAATATTATTTCTTATTGTAACATTTATTATTATCGTAATAAAACTTCTTACAGTTATGGGGTATAATACGACAAGGCTTCAAATGTCATGATTGTGGACTTGGTGTACATCGAACTTGTAAAGGTAATGTTGTTGTAGAATGTCGTCGTATAAATACTGTAATGGAATCAACAAGAACAAGCCGAAAACTTTTACCTAGTATTAGGTATATTTTAAAATTTTCAACATTTTCATTTTCTCATTTTGATTTCAATTTAACAATTAAAAAATTTTTTTTACAATATGCATTGATGATCGATACCTTACAAAGTTTTGAGATTAGGCACATTGACGATCTACACCTTACAAAGTTTTAGGATTGGACGCATTTACGATCGACACCTTACAAAGTTTTAGGATTAAACGCATTTACGGTCGACGCCTTACAAAGTTTTAGGATTAGACGGAGCGATTTGACAAAACTATTATTATTAGGCTACATTTGAGAGACTTCCATATATGTTCGATGTCCGATATTGCTGTCATAATTTTGTTAGAGGAAAAAAACAATTCACTGAGTACTCTCAGGACTAAAATGTTCCTGATAGTATTTTTCTTATATGTGTTAGTAAAAAGAAAAGAAAAATTACTAAGTTGACAAAGTTATGATGATATTTCTTCTTCCATCATCAATTCATCTTCCAATTTATTCCTTTCAACAAATTAAAATTTTCATATCAATTTAAAATTTAATTTCTAATTTATTAATAATTCTTTTTATAAAATATATTGTCACATATAATGATAAAAGAAAGAACGAAAAAACACTTTCAAATTGATTTTCAGAAAAAGACTTTCAATTTATAAAATGATTTTCAAATACCTACTCTGATAACAAAGCTGTTATTATCAGTAAGTTAATTTTGCACCAAACTAAAATCACTCATTTTTTTTACAGATCAATTTCTCGATTACGAACTACCAGTGCAACAACATTAGAACATGATCAAACAGTTGATAAAGCAACAGAATGTTTCGTATCTTCAGCATGCAGAATGTTATTACATCTACGACCTCATTCAAAAAAGAATCGCACACATTCTGATGATTCAGGCTGTTATTATCAGTAAGTTAATTATTGCATATCTTAAAGACTTAGCTAATTGGCTAATTAATTAATCATTTCAATTATTTATTGTTACAAATTATTCGATGATATTATACTTTCATTTAATGAAAAATTGATAGTTTTTTTTTTACATCATTAGAGACATTATAATTAATATTTTTACATTATTATTATTATCATCATTTTTTACAATCATTTTTCAATAAGATGAAGGAATGAAACTTTCGTGATGGGTTGATAAAAGATAATTTAATAGTATCTTTTTGATAAATGATAAAGGGATAACTGCTTAGCATTTGTAATGCATTTTAAAAAAAGCATTTTAAAAATTTATTTACTAGAAGATCATTGATTAAATCATTTTAAGAGTAACAAGTTTATCAGAATCACCAAATACAGATGTAGCATCATCATTGGCATGTGAAGAAGTATTTGAGGATGAATCTTCTTCATGCAAATCACTTTCCGAAATAAACGATTCCAGTAATAATACATTACGGTGATAGATATGAATATTGATTTATTTCTCTTTGTTTTAAATTATTGATTTAAAGTTATTAATTTTCAGTAATATATCATGTTAGCTTCATTTTAATTTAATTTATTGTAAAATTAATTTTTAATGCTATCAATTAGTAAAGACAAACAAAAAATCATTTCTTTTGAATAATAATTTATATTATACGACTAAAATAATGAAATATATTATTTTCTATTGTTGTAAAATTTTAATAAGTTAAAATAAATTAGTAATTTATCAAATTTCATTAAAGATTTCAAATTTAATAATTGATCATTTAATTTTCCATATTTAATTCTGATTAAAAGAGATCGATAACTTAATAAGTCAGTTTAACACCATAATTCACAAATGATAAATATGCGGGAACTCTAATTGATTGGCTAATCTAATTAATTGATCTAATCTAATTGGCGTAATTATCAAGTTTGTCTTTATTTATTAATTTGTTAATTCAACCAAAGTAATGTTTAAAATGTATAGTCTAATATGCAAATTATGATTTATACATTGTCATTTTTTACGGGTATATATCTTATTTATTTTTTGATTAATTTATTTATGCTCTCATTTCATGATACTCTTTTCTTTTTCTCTTTGAATCATTATTTTGATAAAAGTTTTCAAAGGTATGATACTGTTTATGATATCATATAAATAGCAGAAATTTCACTTGAGAAAATCGATAATCTCAATATATCGCGAATAATTAAGATTTGCAGCAAAGTTGAATAATAGTTTCAAATCATTTATGATATTTGTTAGAGGAAGAAAAAATTTGACAGTTTGATTCAAGCTTTTAAAATTGATAAATTATCATGATAATATTATGAAGGAGAATATGATGATGGAAAAAGAAAAGCGTTGTCCATTTATAAATCAATCGATCAGTTTAGATCTGATCAAACAAGGAGCCTAAATAATCATGCCTATGATAACAAAAAAGTTGATTGTTAATTTTTTTTCCGATGTGATCATAAAAAATAAACTTTACTCTCTATTTTTCACGCATAGATCGATATGGAAGGAAGAAGAAATGATAGATTCGAAAAAAGCCTAAATAATATTTTTATTATATTTTAATTTATATATTGTTTTTAAATAAATTTTTATTCACATCTTCTATATATTAGATTTTTAATTAAAGCATTAATAATCTTGAAAAAATATTTTGAAATTATCTATCCCATTATCATATTTTTCTGTCGTCAAAATGTTATTTGAAAGTTAGAAGATGACCATGTAAAGGTTGACGATCAACCTGAAATGGTCAGAATGGACTTAATGAAAGATTGAAGATTGTAATGATGCTGGTTATTCATTGAGTAATTAGAGTGCTGATCATGATATGAATATAGATAGAGAGAGGAAAAGATAAAAAGTGAAGAGATGCAATATCCTCTGATCATTCGAAAATGTGCAATTATTCTCTGGTCACTCACTCACTCGTCAAGCTAAAACAGGCGGTTTTCGGATGAGAAATAAAATGGCCTAAACAAATGTTGTCAATTGTATCCGTTATATTGATCTCAATGAATATCACTAACAGAGGAATAGTTATTCCGATTTTGCTATTAACTATCATCCTAATTTATCATCCATTTTTTGCTCGATCCGAAATTTGCTATCGATGTGCTAATGAATTCATTGTTATGGTTAGATTTTTGAATTTATTTCAAATGATGTTATGAATATTAAATGAGTTGAGGTAATAAAAAAAATTGTTTGTTAACCGATTAAAGATTAAATTATTCCGTATTAGCCACAATTTGAATTGCTAGCTGGATTATTGGAATATAATTTTGGCAAGCTAAGTATTATGAGCTTCTTCAGGTTTTTCATTATACCGAATAGAAAATATACTGCACTGATTGAAACGATATCTTTATCATTATTTATCATTTTGTAACAAACGATAATTTATTTCTCCCTCTAAGCAAATTGTTCCGTATTGAACTTTTTCAAAAAGTTTGCATATATTTAAAGGTAATTAAAGGTGATTAAGCAATAAATGATTTAATTTATTGCTTAGGACTCCTAATATTTTATAAAACAAATGAGTGATAATATTATTTCATTGCTGTTATAAAGCATTCAAGTGATTACTTTCATAATTGATTGCTTATCAGATTTAATTAATTGATTTTTATTAAAATTTTCAGCATTGGGGACATTTCCTTCCAATTCAAGCAGAAGATGAATTAGTTGCCGATTCGGTATGTATTAAAATTGATGAAAGATCAGAAGAAGTACGATGTGTTGGCTCATGCCTAACATTGAATATTACTGTTAATGAGGGTAGCAATATTCGAACTATAGGTATATGTTATTACTTTCTATCACTTCTATCAACTGATAAGCCAAATTTATGGAAAAGCATAGTATTATAAGATTATTATCCGATATTATGTAAATTCTAATTTGATAAATTATTTAACTATCGAAAGTAATTCTCTTTAATGATATATTAACATTTCATTTTCAAAAAATTAATTAATTTTTTATTAATTTATTGAAAAAATCCTTTGGAAAATTTTAAAATATAATAAATTGCTGACGATACTGGCTGGAATCAAGCATAAAGCATAAATACCAGGTAGCCAAAAACTATCTGTCCTTTTTTTCAGGAATGATGAGAGATTGTCAGAAAAAGTACTACAGTCGGGATTCTTACAACGATGAAGGAAATCGTAGATGCCGGAATCAAACTGTTCTAATTCGCCAACGTGTACTGAATGCCGAATACTGCTTTTGTTTGGGTAGTTACTGTAATGGTAATGGTGATCCATTGCAAAGATCAATGAGTGAATTTCGGAAAATATCGAAATACACGAAAATTCGAAATAATCAACGGAATAGTACCACAATGGAATGGTCTTTGTGTAGCGTTCAATATTTGATGCTTATCTCTGTAGTATGTTGGAAATTACATCTGATTAGTTTGTAGGATATTTGAATGATATATATAGGATGTGCTATTGTTGAATATTGTTGCATTGTTGTGTGATAATTTGCCACTTCGATTGTTTTTAGTTTTTGCAGAAGATAACATAAATCCGGTCCTGAACAAATCGTATAAACCGGGAAAAATATGATCTTGGACAGATAGCAGGAGCGTCGCATGCTGTCGGAAGAAACAGACAAAAACGAAAGACTGAAGGTTCTTTCCTTACCCGACGAAAAACGAACTAGCAAAAGAGAAGGGAGGGAGAGGTTGACCTTTTGTTCCATCCTTATTATGACATACATAGAAAAAGTTCTTCCCTTAGCCGACGAAAAACGAACTAGCAAAAGAGGGAGAAGGAAGACGTTGACCTTTTGTTCCATTCTTATTAAGACATACACACACTTCATTATCATAGAGTGAGGGTGTTGCATATACTATCATTCAAGGGACTTACATGTATAAGCGATATATTATCGTCATTTTCCACAATGCTCCCAGACTACAATTTTTTCCTACTTCCTCATTAGTGTTCCTGAAAATGGATCGATAAATGTTGCACAATTGTTGCAGTACATGATTATCATATTCACGCAAAGTATTCACGTTCCACCATCGAATTTTCCGATTCACAATGATTCTGAAAAAAAAAAAACAAATTAACCTGATAATATCACCACTGAAATTTACACAATTTAGGATAGAATGAATCTGAATTTTCTGATTTTAGCAGACAAAAAATAAAAATAACAGGATAAGTAGGAAATTGTAGCTAGTGAAGTAGTTATCCAATAAAAGGTCATTTACATTTAACCTTTGACCTGGACAATTTGGCTTTCTTGGAAATTTTGCTGGAAAGATCCTCAAGCGATGTCAACATCTTGCAACTATTCCTCAATTCTTATACTTTATATATACAACCATTCCTCTTCCCGATGATTTCTCAAAGTCTTATCCTAAATCTTTTCAATCATTCAATGCTGTTGCATCAAACGTTTAATTTGAATCTCTTAACATCAATCAATAGTTATAGCCAACTCGCTGATACTAAAAGATAACCTGTTAAATCTATATTTTATGAAGTTCATTCCATCTAGCTCTTTATTTGCATGTGTGAAACCTTAGTCTCTACAATTTTCACTATCTTCAAACGCTGATCAAAATTGGGAACAACAAACAGCTTATTCCCATTACCTCACTAAGGTTTAATATCGATTAATACCCGATAAGGAGATGACCAGTACTACAACTCATAAAAACGAATTATCGTGCATTCAACAAAAAGTGAGATGCAACAAGAGGATTAATTTACTATCAGTATATTGCACTTCTATTTCTTTTCCTACCGAATTTTGAATATTTTCCCATACTGAATTTCAGCGGATACGGATCAGATCTGAAACATTTTAGTACCCATTTGAATGATTCAGGAGCGGATTCGAAATTCCTTGTTAAAAGTGTGCAGCAGTTTTCAAGGTCAGCTAGTTTGATTTGGTCATCTTCCTATCGAAGAATATTTTTAAACTGTTCTATGACCATTTGATCATTTTCATCCCCTCTACTTCTTGACATTCACCTTGATGCTTCTTTATCACTGATTAACTTCCTCAACATTTCCGTTTTCGTTTTGCGATTTCTACTGCAATTGACTCGACATGGTTCTCTATTGTTTATCCTTTTGTGTAGATGTCAAATAATCTTTACCTTTATCTGCCATCAGAATAAAATCATTAAGAGAATGAACGGGAATGTCCCAAAATAAAACAAATATGGTGTAATGGTGTAAGTTGAAAAGAAAGAATAAGTTGTTATTATCATTCCAATCTTAAGAATAATCATAGAGCTTTTTCCCAACACCTCATTAAGGCCTGATACTGTACAGTTCAATTTAACAATGCCTAATGGTATTAATATCAAACTCTTGGGAGAATTTATGCTTTAGTAAGAAAGAACTTCTAAGGATAAAAATGATAAGTAACATAGTCAAATCATTAAAGATGTGATAGCAAAAGTACGGAACAATCTCTCTCTTTCTCTATCTCTTTCTTTCTTTTTCTACGCTTTCATATTGTCGTTCAATGGATCGTGTGTGAGATTGAGAAATCAGTTAAAAAGATGTTATTTTGATAGTTCCGAATTATCATTGATAAGAAAAGTGGACAAGGGAAATGCTGCAACAAGCAGAAGGATGCTGAAAACAGAAATTTTGGATACCGTATTAATATTGGTGACGATGCTAAAGTTGGAATTGCATTAACAACCGTTGTCAATTGATTTTGTGGGGCAGGAATGATATTGATAGTTCGGGTTCACCTCTAAATGGTATAGAATTTTCTATCATATCGATTCAACGTATAATTCCATGTGTAGTCTCTTATCTTTATTAGATATGGACATATCACTTTATCATAAAGAAACATTAAATCTTTATGTGTGTGGGATTGGTTGTTAATTTATTTCAGGTTATCAGTGGTTGAGTTAGATGGGTAGGGGTTTGATTATCTGGGATTATGATTTCAAATATGATCGGTATGGTGTGAGTTCTGTGTTTGTTGGTGTAGTGAGATTCAATTCTGCATTTACTTCCTATTGATCACTCTTTGCAGTATCTGCCTCCCAATGTTATCATTTTCTCCGGTATAAATCTTCTACTTGGCATAAAAATTTTCAAATTCGTCCGTCTAGATTTTTATACTTTCTTGTTTTAATATATTTGTATTTGTTTCAGGAATCAGTAGGATTGCTTGTATTAGTAATGTCAGATCCAGTTGCGGAATTCTTGGCACGTGAGCAAAATGTTCTGGCTGGTATAGAGGATGATTCGCTAGGAACTAGTCCTTCTCCTTATGCCAATAGCACTGGCAGAAACGATAAAGCTGGTAAGAGTACATTTTATGAAATGAAATTTTTTTCGTCTCAAACGATTTTATGTCGCATTCATCTCTCTAAATTGGAATTGGGTAACTATAAAATATCAAGAAAGCGCTGTGAGCATGACCGTTAACATCGGAAATGGTCTGGATTGAATGTAAGATTACTGGATAATATATTCAGTCAAAACTCTTTTTTGGAAGAGAAAGTAGAAGACGTTAGGAAGCAACAAGGAATTTTATGATCTTGTCTGCGGAAGGCCTTAAACGGATCAAGAAGGTACTACATCATACATCGATATTAGTATGCACTAGAAGTATTTGCTGATTTTGGATACGATCCACTGATAAACATTTATTTACTCTATCAAAGAAGCGAAAGAGTTTTCGTGAATAGATGATGCCAAAATGCTTATTAAATTTGAAGATATTTATTTTGAAGATATTTCGAATTTCAGAAAATGATATTGCTTATGTAAACAATGCTCGTTTGTTAAGCGGGACCATTGATTCTGGTTTGGATCTTCCAACGCTAGCAAATGGTGTGCAGCGCTCAAGCACAACTCCATCACCTTCTCTTGTGGCAATGAATATTGCATCGAAACCGGAACCGGAGAAAATAAAGAAATGGCGAGAAGAGCAGAAAATAATGTTAGAGATGAAAGGTATGAGCTTGTTTACTCTGCTTGGTTTTTTCTACTTGCACGGAGAAAATTAGATGGCATTTTTTTCTCATTATATATGTCATCTAATTGGTATTTACAAACTATTATCATATTGGAATATATATCATAAGAATGTGAGGAATTTTTTCTATCATTCAATTATAAGTATGCAGTATTAATGGCGTAGTGAGTAATATTGTGTGAAGGTCAAAACGTCGTTTCACCTAATAGTATGTATGATTTGCGTTCGAGAATATGAAAATGTTCGTTTCTAATAGAATGGTGGGTCGGACACTGAGCTTTGTGATCATTAGTGACTTCGTTCAAATTTATCAGTAATACTAATTTGGTGAGCTATTGAATAAATATTTAAGCAGAAGGAGGAATTTCAGGATAGGAATAATTTAAATAATTGGTGACATTGTAGTGAAGTATATCATTTTTCAGAGTGTATTGCGTATTTGTTGATGGATAGCGCTTTTTAACAGAACGTGTACATAGCATTAATTTTTGTATAGGATTGATAATTATCGATTCTTACTGCAGATAAAAATGAAGAGAAAAAGAAAGAAGAAATGAGAGCCGCTGGTAAAAAAGAATTAGAAGAATGGTATGCGCGAAGGGCGGAAAGACTTGCAAAAACTAGAATAGCTAATCGGTGATTTTTTTTTCAAAAATTTTCACTTATTTTGTTTATACAGAGAGGTGGTAGGCGAATTTCTGAATATAAATGAATTGCATTTATTTATTTTGTTTATACATTTTACTTATTTTGTTTATATAGAGAGGTGATATAGGCGAATTTCTGAATATAAATGAATTGCTTTTATCCTGAAATCAGAAAAATTTGTAACTTAAACCGAGGAAGCGAAATCATGGTAAGCTAACGCTATGTATTTTCGGTGATCTAAGAAGTTCTATAGTATACTGGGATTAGTAAGGTATAAATAACGCAAAAACTTCGCATCTCTGAAAAGTGTGATAATGAAGTAAATAAATTATGTAGGTTTGAAAATCAGACGAAAGCATTCTCACCTATTTTCGAATTGAATTTTGGTTGCTATTATACTATCAACATTTTTGATAGTGTTCATTCTGCTTCCCGATTCTGAGGATCTAAAAAGACAAGAAAGTTTTTAATCGCTACGGAGTATGCAGTATATAAATTATGAGTGAAAGTTTTTTTGTACTTTATATATTATTATCTGTTATCATTGAATTCTTTAAATTTCAAGGAAAGCCGAAGAGGATTTCATTTCTGACCGTGAGTCCTTGAAAGATGGAGCTGAGTGGGAGCGCATTGCTAAATTATGCGAATTCAGCGCAAAAAATTCGAAAACATCAAGCGATTTATCACGGCTAAGCACTCTTCTTCTTAAACTCAAAACGCAAAAGGAATAAATTATATGGATTGTTTTTTGAAGGTGCTAATCGTGCAGTGGTTCCAAAATGGTGAATTTTTTCCTTCTGTAGAACTGTCATATTTTTAGTGAATCTGAGATATCAGTTCTAATACTTCCGAAATTTTCTGTTTTTAATCGCCACAGTTATGCCCTCATTCAATTTCTTATTTCCGGAAGCACATGTTATTATATATAATTGTTTTGGGTTTTGTTGTTTCTAATGCAAAAAATTAGTGGTTTGACGCGATTAAATTAATGTATCGAACCTATTTGCAGTCCAAAGTATGGGATAATTCATTGATTTTTAGTCATATGCAAGTTCATATGTTGAATATTAAAGTTTTAGTTCTATGGCATTTAATTCCTAAACGGCTTGTTATTTGCCTTTTTTGTCGAAATAATTTCTGAATTTTGAACATTAGATCCTGATGATACCCTGATATCGGATTATTCATTGAGATTCGAACTAATCGTCCTTTCTAGGCTCAGCCTTTTTCTTCCACGTTCATTTCGCATTCCGCAATACCTCCTCTCTTATTACACATGCCAATGTTTTAACATTGCATAACTTTTCGTGCTGATTTGATGAACAAATAGGGCCTACAGTTGTATTTTAGATGGGATATATATTTGATATGTAAAAAGCAGTGATAGATATTATTTCATCGGCAAAATAATGACATCATTTCATCTATTGTCCAGACTTTTCGTGGTTTTTTAATGAAATTTGATGTTTGTCCACTAATGTGCACTTTATCTCGCATAAATGTGAAATCATGGGTGTAGTTTCTATGGAATTCTTTTTGTTTTGTGTTCATATCGTATTTACATCACTACCCTACATAGGCATATCGTGAGAATGGCTTACTACACTCAATGACTGAATTATTCTCGCATACACTTTTTAGCGTGCAACTGGCGTACTGTATCTGTATGATCCTTTGAGAGTGTTATTTATAAATAGTTTTGCCGTTATTCACGTGACACTTTCTTTTCTGCTTGCACAGCGTATGGATGATTGTCGTATCTGCGTGATTCTTTTACAATTTCTTTCAATTTTATTATAAATTTCTCGTGACACAATTTATTTGGAAGTGTTCTATTTTTCAATTTTCTTTAAGTAAAATACTTCGAAGTTTTTTCAAAATTTACTTGTTTTTCTATCTTTTAGGTTCCATATCTGTTCATTCATTGTTTCTTCGATGCATTTCTTTTATTCTTTTTTTCCTTCTATAAAAAAAGGAACGGAAAAGGGAACTCGTAATTGAATAAAAATATAATTTATTGCAAAGCAACTTTTAAAAATTTCCGATTTCGATAAATCAAATAGTTTGGTTTGATATCCAGAGTGTTTTATTTCAATTGTTCTTTTCTTGGTTGAATGAATTAATTTGAGCGTTTTATGTGTTTTGGTATAAGTGATGTCACGAGTTGTTGCAAGGGTAAGCGTAATGCTGCAGCGAGTAATTTGTTGGCGTCTAATTGGAGGACTCCTATATTCTCCTATTGTCAACATAATTGGGATTAATCTCTTGTCACTTCATCTCTGGGATGTTGTTGCGAGAATCAAAGTCAACTTCCGAAGAGCTAAAAGTTCACTCTGGAATGTTGGAGACAGAAGGCTTTGAACGTTTTGCTTTTAGTCGTTGGTCAGATTTTCATTTGGTGTATCAGCAGGCGTTACAATGAAGTAGTTAAGCCGAACGGAAGATTTATGAGGAATTGTGCAAAAGAATGACACTAGGATGGTGCAATAGTAAAAATTAATGAATTGTGCTTTTTTAATGTTATGTCTATTTTAATTGTTTCATATTAGAATACATTCTCATGTACATGTGATGATGCTATAGTTCGTTTTGATGTTTTGTTTTTCTTTTTTTTAATTGTTTACTTCTGGTTATTTATTTTAGATTGAGAAAGTGATATTAAACGAAATGTAGCCTCAAGTGATTTTTTAATTTTAAGGTATTTGTAAACAGTTGAAATGTAATATCTAGCTGTGCTACAGCAAGTTTTAAGAAAGTCGAGAGAGTGAAGGATGTAGTGACTAAAAGTTGAGAATGACTGGTTAAGATTATTCCATTTGTTGAAATTGATGGCTACAACTGAAAAGTGCTGGAGAATTAGCCATCTTACAGTTCGTTGACAATCCACCTTAAAAGAAAAGATAAAAGTACTTTTTAGATGGTGAATTCACGAAATGACCTTTAGTTAAAGAAGTAGTTATTTTGGGTATCGTCTTCTCTTATTCTGTGCAACGCCAGTGAGCGATGTTCTCGATTGGATTGTGATGTGTGATTAGAAATAGGCTATGTAACATGCAACGGCCATTTCAACGGTTAAAGGGATAAGTGCAAAACACTTCGCAAAGTAGACTCTGTCCAAATTGGCTTCTGCCATTCAACTTCCAAAATCTCGACAAAATCAATAAGAAATATTCTCAGGAAGTCAATAAGTGTCTTAGAACTGCAGTACCTTCAAATTCCTGTCGGCCAACGGAAAAGACCCAGTTCTACACGACAGCTGCCAAACGTGGATTTCCACTGAATACAAATGAATAATAAGGCTGGAGATGATAGGCTGTCTCTGCATGTTGCTGTACATATTTAGTTTGAATTGCTGTTCAGTTGGTAATTGTTTAGTTTTAACTATAATTAAATTGTTATTTTCAGGATTGTATGCTTTTCAAGGTCATTTGGTGATCTGATTAAAAAATTTTTTTCCAGAGCTACGGATGACTGAAAGTAGTAATATAGCAGGTGAGGTTTGTATAAGGTCAAGATTCTTGAAAATTTTTTAATTTTTGTTTTGCGAACTATTTTTGCATTGCACTTAATAGGAAAAATTGGTTTAATTAGTTTATATAGCGACTTTTGTTGATAGAGAATGATGATAGTATTATCTTTTTGCTTTACTTCCATGTTAGTAATTTTCGTGGCTTCATGTACATAGATTATTTGGGCGAAATTTTAGGGATGATCGGGATGTGTTTCGTTTCGAATTATATCAATAATTCTAAATCATCTCTAGAATTTGACCCCTAAGGATGGAAGATTCATCCTTTTCTCTATACAGATGTGGCTAACACCAGTCCCAGTGTATTGGAACTATCAGAGTTGTTGGAGAAACAGAATCAGGTATTATCAGCATTGCTTGCTGAATTAGAGACCTGTAAATCGGAAGTGCTTATCCTTCGAAACAAAAGCTCCCAACAAATCAGCGATAAGGTACGCAGGATAAAGTAAATTTCATACAGGTATACTTTGTTTATTTCCTGATCCCAGTTTTCAATGCTAAGGAAATAGAATTAAAACGAGTTTCTCGGAGTTAAGTTTTGTGTTGAACCGATCACTCTTATATTTACTTGTTCGGAAATATAGTTATTGTTAATTCCAGTTGCTTACAGAAGCGAACACATGCAGAAAACTCTTTCAAAGAAGTTTCGAAGATTGGAGAAATCTTACCTGATGGAAGTGAAAAGTCGCCAATATTAGAAGGTTTTTTGGAGAAGATGGAAGTGATACTCCTCAAAGCGGAAAATTTATCCCACGAATTGGACGTTAAAAAGACAGAATTATCCAATGCAGTTGAAATGCATTCATTAACACAGGTTTGTTTTGTTTTCACTAAGTGACCTACACTTCTCTTACAAGTACGAAAAAGCATTATACAGTGGAGATTAGCAGTTTAAAAGTAAAATGAAATATGTGTGTATGTGTCGTTATTCATTAAATCATATTGAGTTTCGACAACTCGCATATTAAAAGTAGAACAAAACATTTCAGGCGCAAATTGATCATTTAAATAAATCTATGGAAAAAGAACGTGAAACAATGATTAATGAATTTTCGAAGCTAAACGATTTTTTGGTTGATAAAACGCGAGAATGTGATAATCTGAATGTAGAAAATAGCATGGTAAAGGTAAATTTTTCGTCATTCAAACAATTTATAGAACATTTAATTTGGCTTTATCCTGCTTATGAATCCGATCCTTCTCAAACATTAATTAATATTACACTGTTTTATTTCTTTTCTATTGTTTGTCTTTCTCGTAGTATCAACCAAATGTTTAATCAGTGCATACAATTTCAAAAATTTTCTTTACACTGCACGCTTTTTAGTTTTTCAACTTTGCTTATGAATTTTTCCATTTACGTGAGCTTTACTAATTTTTGAATAGTCACGATGTGTTGGAATATGTATGTTTTTTTCTTTTTCAGTTATAAATTAGGTTTGTGGAAACATTCCTAGAATTCATTATCCACTTGCTTTTAGGCACAATTGAGAATGCTTAAAGATTCGGTTGCTGCCAAAGAAAAACTTGTAAGCGATCTTACGAAAGCTACTGCAAAAGAGTTGGCAAAACGAGAGGAAGAAGATAAAGTTCTTGCAACAAGATTATCCGTTTTAGCCGATGAAAACATGACATTACGCACTTCGCTTCTTACTTTGGGTGCAAATGAATTGTCACCACGTCAGTAAAGTTTCGCTTTTCCTATATGAAGTATGAGGAAGAAATTTCGTTTGACGATAGATTATCAGGACAATAAAATCAGGAAAAAAATGCGCCGAAGTTTGGAGAAAGTCGTTAAACACTTCTCCAAATATATTTGAGACCACAGGGATCAGGACTTTTAATAACGCAATATGAATTCGGGAGTAAGGAGAAGAAAAAAAGGATAGAAATCTGAAGGTTCTACCGTTCGTTGTATCGTTGAGTTGATGATATTATTGGACTGTGAAATTTCATGCTCGATTTCATATATTTAATTTTATGGTGTTCTGTATTTCTTTCTTGAATTTCCCTTTTTTTCTTTCATAGTGATTTTCCAGAATCGAAAAAGCTTCTGAAGCAACAACAGGATTTTATCGAGACGTTGAAATCTGAATGTGAAATTCTGATGAATCGTTTGATGAGAGAACGAGATGAACACAGGTGATCACAGACTTTTCAAAATTTTCTCAGAAATTCGAACAGAAATGAAGCATGTTATCTATTTTGCTGATTTGCAGGAAGGAGCGCAGAAAACTGAGACGTCAAATACGTACTCTCAATGCACGCCTTGAATGCCTTATATCTGGAAAACAAGAAATAACCGATGTGTAATTTTGATAATGGAATGATTGTTTCTTTTTTTTTTCTGAATTATATGTTACGAATTGAATTGTTTGAGCAAAATTCATATTTCCGTGCAAGTTATTTTTGTTTGGAAAGATTCATTTCATTTTCGGCACAAATCATGCTAATTTTTAACTTCTTTCCCTTTTAATTGCCATTATATTCCCCATAGATTAAGTATGAACTCTCTAAACATGTTGTAGGAAACTCATGCAGTTGCTCTGCTCATGCGACATACATCAGTTATCTACTGTAACGGTACTCCTGAAAACTCTGATAATTCTGGCAGACTGCAGTTGAAAAGAAAGAAGTTTAGTTTCTTATTATACGTTAAAAGTTGAGCAATTTAGCATAAGCATTCATTTTTCCAAGATTTGGTCAGTACCCGCAATAATTTTTTGGAAAATAATTAAGCTCATCTGTGTTTGTGATAAATAATGACAGCTTATGCCATATCTTTTAACCCGATGCATTGGTCTTGTCTAACAAAAAAAGAAAAAAAAACCTGATTCTTGATGGCTTTTTGACAATGTTTGTGACAGTATTATCAATTCAAAAAGTTATATTAATAGGGAATAAAATTTTTCTATTGATATGACTTTCTACGCTATATAAAAAGGATGCATTCCAGCTTACCATGTTTCCTCGGATTCAAATCATTACTATTGCACCATGTAACCTCACCGAGCAATCATGAAGACCTCTTTCTTCAGACTACTTTTCATCTGGTTCATTGATGAAATCATTAAAACTGATCACTTTGGCTAGGAATTCTCAAAATTGATAAAAATAATTGTTTGTAATTTGGTGATGAAAATAAGTAATTCATGAATGCTACATCGGGAATGTGCCGCATTTAAAAATTTTTTTTCCACATTTGAATGGAGAAAAATTGAGGCTTTCATAAGGGACAAAATTATGTAGGAAGGAGGTGGAATGACGTATAGAATATACAATATGTGAATATATATCATTTTCATCGGCGCGTTTGTTTGCATAGGCAACTCATTGCAGGAATGACGTCTGAACATGTTGTCTCCACTATTTTGGAAAATGTTGACGGAATAACTAACTTAGCCCAGCGAGCTTTGAAAATTAAGGATGAAGCTAATCAGTTTTTCCACGGTAATTTATTTTTTCAACTTGTGTAGCTAAAATCATTTAATCACGAAGCTCTCATGAGTATATGTTGTGCAGTAGTTTTTTTCTGTTTGATTGGATTATATTTAATACGGTTTTTACAGTGAGTAGTAGCAAGAATAGACTATTAAAATATTTGATGCAATTAGTAATAGCTAATTTTAGCATTATGTTACTGAAATTATTGTCGGTGATTGATAGAATTGTCTTGATAGAATTTGATTATAAATGTTGGAATATAAAATTTTATTTATTAGTTTATCTTATCATCTTCATCAGTATGCATTTAATTAATGCCATCATTATAGATCAGGCATACGATGTTGCCATTGAGCTGTATACGAAAGCAATCGAATTGGATGATCAGCAAGCCTTGTTTTATGGCAATCGGAGTATGGCTTATTTGAAAAAAGAATTATATGGCAGCGCGCTAGAAGATGCAAATATGGCCTTGAAACTAGATCCTAGTTATACGAAGGGTTATTATAGGCGTGCGACAGCCTATATGGCTTTAGGGAAATTGAAACTTGCTCTAAAGGATTATGATACGGTATTTTCCTATCGTTGAAAATTTGCTTTTTATTTCGTATTATGGTGGTGATAGCAAAATGTGTAACGTTTGTTTCTTCAGTTTTACTCATTATCATCATCAGAAATAGATTACAAGTAAAATAGACTTTTAAAATACACAATTTTTTATCAGAATCAATCAAACCATTCGTGACAGTAAAAGCGATGAATTAGCTGTTATCATTCTCTTTCTTCATCAATTATGATAGCTGAATAGATTTAAGATTAGAAGGCTAAAAACAAAAATTGAGTTGTAGCCATCTTATTCAGTACTTTTTTATTTGCTGCTATTTTCATCTTATTTGGACTGACACAAAAAGTAGTGGAAACGACAATGGAATTTTTTGTGATGAAAAAGTATCAGACATCAGTAAAAAAATTGATATTAATTTCACTTGAATTCATGATATGAATCATATTTTTGTTTTTTCTCTTTTATTGTAGTAATTATTGTAGGTACGTAAAACATTACCAAATAATGTTGATGCTAAACAAAAATATGACGAATGTCAAAAATTGATGCGAAAAATAGCATTTGAAAAAGCAATATCAGTGGATCATGACAAACGCAGCATCGCGGAATCTATAAATATTGATGCGATTGGTTATCATTTTCTTCTTTTTTCCTCTATTTAAAAAATGAAGCTGATGTAACTGCAAGAAATCGAAAACTTTAAACATAACGGACTCAGATGGTTTAAACAATTTCAGAAGTTTCAAAATGCAGGGAAGAAATATTTCCTTTTCAGAAGTAGAAGCAACATATGACGGGCCTGTTCTTGAAGATGATATTACGTTAGAATTTATGAAACAACTAATTGAAACATTCAAAGCAGAAAAGAAACTACACAGAAAATACGCTTATAAGGTTTTGTTTTGTTGAACAAATATTTACTAATGAATTTCGGTGTTCATAGTTATCATTTTGTGAGGTGATTTAATTCTCATTTTTTATCATTTTCTACAATTACATAGTGATATATATGGAAAATGCACTGAGGTTTCATAAAATTCATCTCCGGCTTTATTCTGAACAGTTGGCCGTGTTATTGAAGGATTTATCAAAAATCCTTCAATTCCTTCAATTTATTCAGGATTTATTCAAAACTTGCTTATTAGATCATTAGATCATATTCCTTGTAAGACATGTGGATTTGCTTCGTTTACTCTCCCAATTTTCATACTTCCTTCCTTAATTTGTGTTCAAGATATATTTTCTCATTTTTTCAATTTCCATTAGTTGACAGATTTCCGTAAATATTCCGATGTTCCAGCATTTCATTTCTGTTTTCAGATACTTCTAGCAATTAGGCGAATGTTTGGTGAATTACCAACGCTTGTAGAAATCACAGTACCGCCAGGAAAGAAATTTACTATTTGTGGTGACATTCATGGACAGTTCTATGATCTGTGTAATGTGTTTGATTTAAATGGGTTACCTTCAGAAACGAATCCATACGTATGTTTTATGTCTGAATTGAACTAATTTCTCGGTCAGTGAAAAGTGGAAATTGCATATATTATTTTTTTTTTTAGCTTTTCAATGGTGACTTTGTTGATCGCGGTTCGTTCTCGGTTGAAACGATATTTACTTTATTCGGATTTAAACTTTTATATCCAGAGCACTTTTTTATGTCACGAGGTTTGCTATATTCTGTTAAATATCTTTTTCATTGTTATAGCTTCGTTTTAGATAAAATTGTCATAACGAAGAGAAAAAGGTCGAAATTTTTTTTATATTAAGGAAATTGAAATGATATTAATTTACCGGTTTGATAGTTGGAACCGAAGGATGACATCGAAAACAAAAAACTTATTTTCGTTTTTTACGTTTTATAGGTAATCACGAAAGTGACGTAATGAACAAAATGTATGGTTTTGAGGGTGAAGTAAAGAGCAAATATACAACTCAAATGGCAGATTTCTTTACGGAAATCTTTGATTACTTACCGCTTTGTCACTTAATCAATAATAAAATATTTGTAAGTGATTTCCAATTAAATTTATTTTAGAGATTGGCCTCGAATTTTTTTCAAAATTTTGCATATTTCTTTGGACTTAGTTATGTAGTCGGACTAACTGTTTTGTGAATAACTAAAGCACTAAGCCATTTTTTTGGTGAAGTTCAATAATGCTCTATTTTTCTCATTACATGTAATAGCTGCTTTCTTTTTCTTAACTGACCTAAAATAAGTATTTCAGTAAAAATTCGTTAGGATACTTGTAGTTTTTAATTCTCCCATCATTATTAACGTTGAAACTAATTGATTAACATGGAGGTTTTGTATACTTTTTTTATTATTTTGTTTAATTGTACAAAGTTGTTTACTATATATGACGAAATATGGTACTGCAGCTAATGTAAATTGCTTGTGATTTCATTTTCACTAGTATTTTTATTCTTTTACTTTATTTTTGATAATTAATTTTTGAATTAAATTGAGGTTTGCCATGGAGGTTTATTCAAAGATGACAACGTTACCATGAATGATATAAAAAAAACAAATCGGGTCCGTCAACCACCGGATGATGGTTAGTTCTCTACCATCATTTTTCCAATTTTTGAAACAATTATTTTATGCATTGCGGTATTTGCCATCAAACCAATGTTTCTTGAACTTCTCTTAGGAAAGTGATATGGTTATCTGAGAAAAGGCAATGATATGATGTATAACGTACTATGTTTTGATAATTCTACAGTAATTTTAAGCTTTGAAGCTCAAAAGATTACTTTTTTAAAAGAAAATGAAGTTGAATCGATTTTTTAGCTGTGTTAATAATTATTTCAGGTATAATGTGTGATTTGTTGTGGTCTGATCCTCAAGACTTGGAGGGTAGGTCAGCATCGAAACGTGGAGTTGGTTGCCAGTTTGGTCCTGATGTGACACATAAGTTTTGCGAGGCAAATGGTATCGACTATGTTGTAAGGTATTATTTTTCCATAATTCTGGATTGATTTTTTAGCGGTCCATCAAATAAGTGACGATATCCCATCGAAGTTTTGAAACGTTCCAATTATGTGTTTAACACTTCATTTTTTACTACTGTATAAGTTTTCTTGCATTTTTTGTAATTTTTATGATTTCTTTTTTTGTAGAAGTCATGAAGTGAAGCCGGAAGGATATGAAGTTCATCATGATGGTAAATGTATCACCGTATTCAGTGCACCAAATTATTGGTATCTTTGTTAATTATTATGAAATTTAGGTTTTATTTCCTACGCATAAACTTTTCTTTTAAATCAGTTATTCAATTTTAAAGTAAAGTACAAGCTCCTCCATCAATAACACTATGGGAAATAAAGGAGCATTTATAACAAGAAAAGGTGATAATTTTTTCAGTGACACTATGGGAAATAAAGGAGCATTTATAACAATAAGAGGTGATAATTTAACGCCGCGTTTCACTTCTTTCACTGCAGTGGATCATCCTTCAGTAAGTAATTTTAAATTTGTTTTCAGCTATTTTGAATTGGTTGTTTAAAAACTGCCAGGCACATTTGAATGAGTAGAGTAGACAAAAAATAGGTTGCTATAGCCACTGCTTCATGAGAAGTGAAGTTTTGTAATTACCATAAACTTGAATCACTCTTTAACCAACTGATCAGCATGATAATCTCGAAGCAAATTAAGCAATAAATCTGTAGCTCAATTTTCTGCAACTTATTCTTCACTATTTTTGCAGTTTTTTTAAGTTGTAGCCTGCAAATTTTATCATTTTGAGGTCATTTGAAAACATTCGTTCATCCTCATTTTTTCCAACCGAAAAATATACATTGTCAGTTTAGGCTGCTTGCATTTAGAGGTCATCAAATAAGCCAGATACTATTGTTTTCCGTTCTGTACTGCACTGAGGCATCATGGTTGAGTTTTATGAGTGAATAAATTTGGTCATGATATAGGCGAATCATTAGAAAAATCACGAGGCTATCAAACTGTCAATGAATTATTTTCAGGTAAGGCCGATGGCATATGCGAGCAGTTTATTTGGTTTTTCATAGCAGTTGACTTAATGATTTATCCGTATCTGTTTGTTTATGAATATGCTTTGATATCACGCATACAAATGCCGAAATATTCAGGGGTTGAAAATACAAGGAATAAATGTTTGCAGTCGTCTTGGTTTCACCACGTTATCATTTAATCAATGTGTTGTAAGCAAGCAACAGAAACTTCATTGCTCATTCATATCAGCTGCCATGCTGTTTTATTCTCCATATTTTAAAATATTTCACAGCTGTCTGTAATTTATCACCGGGAGTAGTTGCTATGCAATAATTGTGAAACTTAAAAATTCAAATTCACTGTATAATAATAGGATACTTAGTAATGTCATTGCTATTATTATTTCCATTACAAGTACTACTTCCGGTCTTATATTACGTTTATTCAAGTATTTGACATCATAATGATGTGTTTTCTGCTCTAAATTTGTACTATAAAGTCTTAAGTTAGAAGTAAAAGAAATATGAAGAAGGCAACATTATCATTAGATGATTCTATTCGTTCCTCAGCTACCCATATCCCGTACCCATTATATAGTCATTACATAAGAAGTATAGTATAGTTTATGGCATCTTTGAAAGAACTTCTGAAATCATACTCTCTAGAGTGAACAGAATAAGTAGTGTTAATATTTAAAACTGATTTAATTTATATTATAAGAAGACATAGTCTTCATTCCACATCCTCGCAGGGAAAATATTTTCAAAGTTTTTTCACGTTTTGAAGTCATTTGCTGGAAGTTCCAAGATGAGATTTACCCCAGAATTGAGAATACAATTTGCAATGATGGATGAAGTGATGTAGTTGATGTGATGCATTTGCTATCGAATCCATTATATTCTAAATTTTACGATTTGGTGAAGCGGAAAGAAATATCCTTATTGATGGTAAGTTGAAAAAAAATTGTAGTTATCGATTACTTGTTCTGTTTAGTACTTTTAGTATCATTGGAATAATCGAGACTGATAGTGTCATATGTCTCTTGCATCTCTTTTATTTGTGTAATGATGTTCAACGGTACAAATCATCAAACTCCTGTGATACCTAAAAGTAACGAGATCATTTAATAAAATGTTGAAAAAGATATTTGTAATATCATCTTACACAGTTCAATTTAAATATGAAACAGAAAATGAAATAAAACTTAATGAGTAATGAAACGTGAAATTCATCACAGACGGATTCAATGTCATTCTGGATAATTTTGTATGTTTAAGGTGACTGTATTACCAACTTTATCACCATTGGCACAGCGACGAATTCTGTCGGTTCTGGATGATTGCCCCGAAAATGCGGAAAATCGAGGGGCTGTTGCATTTGTTAGAAATGTGGAACCAATACTACAGAATGGACCTCAGTAAGTTTCATCTCATTGTTTTCTTCATGTCCTAAAATTCATTTACATATCAAAGCGCTGTCGAGAAATAAGTTCTAGAGAAAAAGGAATATTTGAGGGTTATTCATCTATCAGCTACATTGTTTATATGTTGAATCTCTTCCATATTAAAAAATTAAAAAATCAGAGAAAATTTTGTTGGCTTTCTTAGAACAACTTATCCCACCATAACTTTGCCGTCCATTATCGATTCTATGTGTTAGTAATTTTTCGATTATCTTCATAAAATTTCTCGAAAATTTTCATTTCATAATTCTGCATAATATGTACGAGAAGCATATACAATAAGGGATTACTTAAACATTTTAAATTAGTTTGCCTTGATCAATTCATCACCCTGAACTGGTTCCTTTCGATTATCTAAAGGAAGCAATTTGTTAATTTTTTTAAAGCAATGATAATGAAGTAATGGAAAATAGTTAATCAAAGTTTTTAGATGTGGCCTTGTTGCTGTCCAAATGGTTGCTCAAGCATACGGTCTTCCAATCCGAAACATGGAAGAAATCTTCTATCATGCTAAGCAAAAAGGATACACAAACTATGGTGAAATGTTTTCCGGTATGTTTGGTATGCTTGTTTTTGCATATATTTATCGTGTTACTTAAACTTGTTCATTTATAACGTTGTTAACGATGCTTCTAATACTTTGAAAGTATATCTTAGTTGCCTATTTTTATCAGTTTCAAAGATTTAATTCGTTCTGTTTTTTGCGATATGTATAGTTTTGTTTTGCATTTATTTCAGCTGATTGGTTAGCTGATGTTGCGGTTTCGTTGTGGCCAATGTTAGATGTAACAGTCGAGAACATTCCATCTACAATTCGAATGGAGCAGTTCATTCAAGAAAATGCGTTGTTATTAATACCATATGATTGTGACAAGAATCATCAACCATGTAATCGAGGGGGACATAGTGCTCATTGGTGTCTTGTTGTTAGTTTCTTCTGTTTGAAAAATGTTGATCTACTGCAGAAAGAAATATGAAATATATTGATGTATGCGAGAAAAGAAATATAAAAATAAGGAAGAAAATTTCCGAAGCATATGAAGAAGAAAATGAAAGTTCTGTGTTTTAATTTTTTTTCTTCAGATAGGATTTCTTTGCCCTGTAAAAGAATTGGTAACGATAACATGGAATACGGCAATTGCTCATACCTGTTCCAAAGCTACACACGTGTTTTGTATTCATGGCAAAAGTCGTCATCTAGCTGTCTGGAAGTATTCACAACTTGTTGCTAGTAATTTTAATCTACGTGAAGCATCAAGGAAAATGATCGATTATGTGATACCATCAAGTGACCTTTCAACACTTCGAAATCGTTGTCTCGTTGTTCGTTGTCACCGTGATACCACTGCTTTTAATGCTATTACCTAGTTTTCTTATATTTATAAGCTTTTCAATGTGTCCAATATTTCAAGGGTCTTGTTTTTTCTTTCAATTTTACTTTATCAATATTATGAAAATTATTCGAGATTAAACAAAAACATGGTAAATATTAATTAAGAAATAATTCATTCGAAAAAAGCAACTTTAAACAATTTGAAATTTTCAATAAACAATTTTGAAAACAATAACTTTGAATAATTTTAATGTGAAATGAAGTTTTTGTATATAGCATAAATTTTCAAAAAGAGAAACCGATATTTGAAAAGAGGAAGTGATTTATTTATGATCTAAAGATATTATTGTTGTTACAATTTTTAATTATTAAAATTAGTAAATATGTTTACCCTAAATCTTTCCTCTATTCTTTTATTGATAATATATTTCAACTTTTTCATTATTATTTAAATTTTGCTTGCTAGAAAATCAGTGTAATATATTAATCAAATATGTTTTGTAATAAATTTTGCTTGTAATTTTATTCATTTAAATGATTTTAATTAATCAATTCAATTTATGTATCATTTTAAATTTCCACAATTTGCTTTATGAGTATGATTCATTTGCATTCTCTCGATTTTCATCGATCACATGAATGATCTATAAAGTCGAAAAAGAAGAATATAAATTTATTTGTCAAATTTGAGAAGATAAAAAAAATTTTAAGGTATGAACTACCTATACGAATGAATATGATAAAACTTTAAGGTATGAACTAGCTATACGAATGAGTGTGATAAAACTTTAAGGTATGAATTACCTATACGAATGAATATGATAAAACTTTAAGGTATGAACTACCTATACGAATGAATATGATAAAACTTTAAGATATGAACTATCTATACGAATGAATATGATAAAACTTTAAGGTATGAACTATCTATACGAATGAGTGTGATAAAACTTTAAGGTATGAACTACCTATACGAATGAATATGATAAAACTTTAAGGTATGAACTATCTATACGAATGAATATGATAAAACTTTAAGGTATGAACTATCTATACGAATGAGTGTGATAAAACTTTAAGGTATGAACTACCTATACGGATGAATATGATAAAACTTTAAGGTATGAATTACCTATACGAATGATTATGATAAAACTTTAAGGTATGAACTATCTATACGAATGAGTGTGATAAAACTTTAAGGTATGAACTACCTATACGGATGAATATGATAAAACTTTAAGGTATGAATTACCTATACGAATGAATACCTATACGAATGAATATGAAATATGATTAAAACAGTAATAACTCCTTATTACAAATTTCTATACATTATCAAAATTAATTAATTAATTAAAAAATTAACATATCTCAATTTGTCACTTATAATTTGCGATTTTAGAAAGAAATACATAAATGAAAATGAAATAAATGAATTTATTATTTTGGAGGAGACATTCAAAATTTCAATTTTTTCAATTTAGTAAAATAGCAAGAGATCTTTGTAGAAAGTAAACAAACAATAATTTTACAAACTGTCAGAAAGGATTGAAATGAAGAAAAACTTATAAAGATCAAGTCTGTAATAAGAATCATATGAAAATCTAAGAATCAAAGTCTGTAATATGAATCGGAAACAACAATCGAAGTTTGTAATAAGAATCAGGTAAAGTCCGTAATAAGAATCATATACAAAGGTTACAAATCTATAGCAACAATCACAAGTTGTAATAACTTACAGTTTCTCCGGTATTAGTGGAACTTGTTGATTTATTTGATGTTGATATTTGTTCATCAAGTGGATAAAGATTGAAATGTTGTTGCTGTTGTTGATTTGTCCCATCATATTGCATTATTCTCCTGCATTGTTAAGTATAAGAAATAAATATTTATATATTCTAATTTACACTTACCACCAAAAATTATTAATTGGATAATTAAGATTTTAATAAATAATTTTTATAATTTAATTAATAATCTTAATTCAATCAATAATTTTTTTAAATTTTTTTAATAATTCTAACCTTCCCTTATTATAAGGAAATTGTGAACGAGTATTTCGTTCGGTATTAAGCTTCTTTCGAATTTCTTCAATCCATGAAAAGCCTATACTTTCCATCAATGAAACCTGATAATATATGAATGATAATAATTGATTAGAATTTTTCAATCAATATAGTTAATGTTCCTCAATATAGTTAATGTTTAGAATCAATATAGTTAATGTTTCCCAATATAATTAATGTTTAGAATCAATATAGTTGATGTTTAGAATTTTTCAATCAATATAGTTATTGTTTTTCGATATAGTTAATGCTTAGAATTTTTCAATCAATATAGTTAATGTTTCCCAAGTATGAGCTCCCAGAACTTTTTCAGTATAACAAAATTTCTAGCTTAATTTAAATCGTTTTCAAATTATGAAACAGAATGATCCGTTTGCTATCTTCGTTTTAAATCCTATTTAACTATTAAATCATTGCCATACTAAAACAATTTGTTTATGAATATATTCGAGAAGAATTAATATCAAGAATATGAATCTTCATTTCTGAACAATATAGACAAAAATCACTAATCTTGTAATCATGATTTTAATCATTAACCTCTTTATCATGATTTCGCTTCATCGGTATTTTCTCTTTCTGCTTTACTAATTTATCAACTTTTGGACTACCATTGTATTGCTTCTCCATATTTGTACCACTTGGATGAACAATATCTTCAGTGTTACCAACGATGTTCGGAAATTGTCGTGTTGTTTTAGGCGTTACAGCAATAGAAGATTTCGACGCACAAAATGATTTATCTTAATTCAATAAATGAAAAGTAAGCCATTTTCAATGAGATGAAATTAAAATTTTAAGTTGCAAGTTTGATTTTTGTTTTAGCATTCATTCCTCTCTTATCATAAAATTAACATATTAAACTTTGCTCAATTTACAAATATATGAGATGAAATGTGTAAAAAATTTAGCTGATAACATTTCTCTGATAACAGTTTGCTGATAACACTTCGGATTAAATTTATTTTTCAACCACTAGGAAAAAGAGAAAAATTCAGAAGTAGAAAGTTGTAGAAAGTATCGTTTCTGAAAAACCTAAATTAACCTAATTTCAACATTTCGGTCTATTCTCAATTGACTATTAGTTAACTCAAAATATACAATCGATGTAATTCAAACTAGAATTTAAGTCTAATGCTTGAAATTTTAATCTAATCTAAAAAAACTTTTCACTGAAAGAATCTTATTTTAAGTTTATTAAATAGCATAGCGTTTTTTAAGTCTAATTAGATCATATTAAATAATAGAAAGTGAGGGAATTTTTGCAATAATAAAATTGATTAAAACAATTATTGTTTATTCTGATATTGAGACAATCGATTCTAAAAATATATGATGATAATGATAACAATATTAATAATAACAATAATAATAATAATAATAATAATAACAATATTAGTAAAAAATAATCATACTTTTAAAAATTTGCTTTCCATTTGCTGATTTCTCCGATAAACTTTTGCATGTTGAAATACTACCATCACTTTTCTTCATTTGTTTATCAAATGTATTATCAGTATCAGTACGATGTGTTCCATTATCGTAAAGGAAAATAAATATAATGGAAGTGAAATTTATAATAGAAAAAATGACATCATTAAAGTTTTTAATTTCCAAAAGAATTACAAATTAAACTTAATTAGAATGAATAAAGAATTAAAATACTTATTATGGTATTATTTGGTTGTATAAATGAAGTTCGTAAATCCTCATGATTTTCCTCAATCCATCGTTTTGTTCGCTTCATTGGTGATATCATTGGTGTAGTAAGCTCAATAATCTCATCATTTTTACTAAAAAAAAATTTTTGGGAAAAATTCATAAATCAAAAAGATCATAGATAAATTCATAAGTAATAGTAAGCTATTGAGTATGATTTGATTAATGATAATAAATAATAAATAATTGAGAAATAATAAGTAATAAATAATTGTAAATATTAAATAATAAATAATAATACATAATAATTAAATTATAAATAATAAATAAATAAATGATAAATAAATATATAAACAATAAATAATATATAAATAAATAAATAAGCAATAAATAAATAATAAATAATAAGTAAATAATAAATAATTGAAGAATATTATATCATGAAAAAGAAATGCCATATCTGAGGATTCTACATCTAAATGAAAATATGAAAGTCATTAATCAAATTATAGGTGATATTAGAGATTGAATTATTCGAACGTTAATTTCAATGTTATCTAATTTCAATATCATTTTCATTATATTTTAAAATTTCATTCAATCCTAAATATTATCACCAATTTAATAGTTGAATAAAACTTTTGATAATGTTTTTTCTTATCTTATTTAGAGATAATTATTTTAATCTTAACATTCATTCCGTATTACTGTTCATGTTAGTAAAAGATTTTCATCATTTTTTAAATTTAATTTTTATAAAAACAAACTGTTGACAGAATAGTTGAATAACGGATTTATTATCCATATCATTTTGTTTCGTTTCATCATCCGTTTTATTTGATGCGATACGGGTACGAATTGTTTTAAATATTTTACGCTCAATAATTAAGGGAGGAATCTGGAATAACTAAGAGTGAAATAAAGTGAAAGATAAATAGCATTTCCTTTTCTATATTTTTTTAAATCAAATATTTCAAATTACATTCCGGTATAACTATCCACCTGATTTACTTAGCATATTACTTTTTCTCAATATTGATAGATATGAGTTGGATATAAAAAATAAATGATTAATAGTAGCAATCTTTGGGGAAAAAACTCCTAATGATTGCATGCTGATTAATCCCTTTAATTATCATTGAAACAATTACTTATCATATTATACAATACTCTGATATTCTCAGGAAATATGCCATAATACTTTCTGATTTTCAATTTGTTACAACTCTATTCAACCTTTTTAATATCAGGTTGGAATATTGAAATATATCAAGAAAATTTTTTGAACCATATTTGATAATAATCATTAACTAACTTCGATTATAAAAGCTATAAGAGAAGCGGCAAGTAGTGATAACATTGATATTTCCATAGCAAAAATGATAAAATAGTAAGCTGATAGGGGCATCATAGGTGAGCGCTTTGTCCATATGAAATATAATAAAATTGGCTCATGTGATAAATAAAATCCATAAGATAATCTAAAGAAAAAAAAATACAAACTTCCATTTTCAATTAAATATTAATTATATTTAATTAAGTACCAAAATATTCTAATAAGATTTGTTTTAAAAAATTTAACAAATGAATGAATGAATGAAAAGTTATTCTATTTAATGAAGTTTTATTGAAATTTCAACAAAAATGTCAACCTCGAAAAAACGGTCCATTTCTCCCAAGCTAAAAATGAATGTATCATATGCATATATCCTCGTTCACATAACCAAACAAATATGGCTAAACCAAATGTCCAAACTACTCTTAAAATTATGCTGTCATTTTCTTCTTTTAATATAATATATTAGAAATAGTAGGAATTCAGGAATAGGTCAAATTAACTTAATGAAAATGAAATGGATTTCTTTTTTGATATAATATACTAATAGTAGGAATTCAGAATAGATCAAATTAACTTAATGAAAATGAAATAGATTAACTAAATTAAACGAATGAAATAAATTAATGGTAGCAAATTCAGATTCGAATGATGATAAATCAATGTGACCGAAATGTTTCCGATTATTGGATAGTTAGATTTCATTTTTTTTGAAAAAGTGATCAAAGTTTTAAATGGCGTTGAATTCAAGAAATTGGAAGAAGATATACGTGAAGAAGCTGGAAGAAGATATACGTGAAGAAGCTGGAAGATGATATACGTGAAGAAGCTGGAAGAAGATATACGTGAAGAAGTTGGAAGAAGATATAGTGAAGAAGTTGGAAGAAGATATACGTGAAGAAGCTGGAAGAAGATATAAGTGAAGAAGCTGGAAGATCTACGTGAACTCATTGACGTATGCTAATTGAATATGTAAGAAATGCATTAAACAAAACAGTAACCTAAATGTGGCAGCGTAAAAAATCGAAAATATATTAAAGTCATTTGCATAATTGGCACCAATAAATGAAAAAGCGAGCATGAGAAATGATAGAAAATGTGCAATAATTATTTGTATTGTTGAATAAGTTCGCTTCGATTTTGTTGAAAGTGACCATCCAAGAAGAATTCCTAAAATAGTAATTAATATACATAATTAATATCACTGAAATAGTAATTAATATCATCATTTTCACTCATATATCATGGATATATTATTATCAGTTAATTATTTAAAACATACTTATTTATCTCTCTGTGTGAGAGTAATAGAAAGATACAGAGAGAAAGATAAGCTAATTATTATAGAAATAATGCTAACAAAGAAAAGTGGTCTAATAGGGACAATTTTATTTATTTTGCTTAATCATTTCCTTTTAATAAAAAAACTTTTAATACAAAGCTTTTGTAATTTTCAAATATTAATTTCAAATATCAATATAAAATACAAAAATTTATTTCGAATTAGGCTTTTCATTTTAATTTCAAATTAAGTTAAAGAGTTATGAATTACTTCGAAAGATAAATAGTTTTTTAAAATTTACCAATTAAAAATGAGCCAATTCTTGCATGCGGTACAGCATATAAATATCGAAACATTTTTTCCATTAATTCGGTTGTTAAGCTATCATTTTCGATCAGTGCTGAGATAAGTGTTGCCGGAAATCTGTAAAAGTTATACCGGATATGAGCTTAGTGTGATAATTTTATTATTTGAAATTTTTACTGTTGCTCATTTATTAATCAAAATGTTTCGTAATATTAATTATTGAAAGAATTGAAGTATACAGGATAAGCTAATCATGATTCAGTTTTTCCTGAATAAATCTTTTCCACTTCAGAACTATTGGTATACAGATGAGATATCATCTGATAATAAGATTAATAGCTGTTGATATTTTTTGTTATCAGTTATCAGTTAAATCAATGCTTTGCAATCCTCACTATCTTCTACTTTGTTCTTTCTATCATTTCACTCATTCACGACTACTTTGATTAAATTTCATGTGTAGCCAATTAGCGGTAAATATTACCTGAATAATACCACCATAGTAGCTCGGTAAATAACGGATAATACTATGATGGCGATGATTAAAATGATAGCAATTGTTGGTATAATATGCAGTAATAGTAAAACAATTGGAGCTATCTAAGAATGGATTGAAATTTTTGCACTAATATTATTTAAATTTAATTACTCCAACTGAGGAACGCTGGAAATTGTAGTAAAATTTTTGTGACAAAAAAATATTGCAAAAAAGCGACAAATTTTTATTTCTGCTAATAAATTTTAAATCCGAAGTTTTTTGAAATTCTAAAATGAATTCATCTCACACCGAGATATTTTACTTATATCGCAAAATTAAGCAAACTTATATAAAATTAAATGTATCAAGAAATGGAAAATGACCAAACAGGATGACCAAATAAGTCACAAGTAGTTGTGATATTATTGATATCACTAAACTGGAACAACTTTTTTTAAATAAAGGTTATTAGCGAATTATGCTAATTATATTTGAGGAGTACGATAGAGTTTACCACCGAAAGAAATATTACTAAAGAAAGTTTTAGAAAAATATAGTTTGAAAATCTAACAATATAAAATTGTGTATCCAATGCAAGGTACCACATCCAAGGCATACATTCATTTGGATAGAAATTTGTCAAAAAAAGCATCTGTCGCCAAATATCATCCTTATTGCATCTTGCGCCGAAAATTCCTGCAATTTGTTTCTTTTGTTTGAGAAGAAAATATTTTTTACTAAAATTGAATCATTTCAAATAGCAATCTTTAAAGTATCAAAATTTATTGACAACAGAAATACAATGATTAAATTATCATATCCGTTTTTGTTAGTTGCCATTTTATTATCAGTTGATGACAGCATAAATAGACAATTGTCATTTATCCCATTGAACTTATTTCATTTGACATTTGAACTTTAATTTAATTAACAATATAAAATAGTCTTTTTGAGATTTGCTTAAAATTTTCAGCGCTACACTTTGAACTTTTCATTAATAGAAAATAACTTCAAAGTTAATCAACCACTAACTGTATCACACATAAAGTACGTAACGCTCATAATTATATTCTATCATATTAACTTATTAATTCTAAAATTTCAACAAAATAATTAATAACAAACCATTCTGTTCAGACCACATTGGTCCATCACCAATTTGTTGAAAAACGAAATAAATGATAAGAAATGTGATAATATAAGCTGGCATTAGACGAATGAAACGATGAAACCAAAGCATAAGCCAACCAAATGGTGATAATGCTGTTTGTTCATTCTTACGTTGTTTTTGTTTTAAAAGGCGTAAATGAACTTTATAAGCCAAAACAGCAGCAGATATCAGTAAGAATGAATCAACGGAAAGAGATGAATTGAAAATAATTAGCGAAAGTTTCTCATTTGCTTTCAATAAGCTCCATAATTGTCGTACATTGCCAATATATTCCAATGAAAACAAATGCGCATGACCAATTACTACCTATAAAGTATTTTCAAACTATTTATTGTACTGTTCAAAGTTTCAAATTTAAATGCAAACAATTTATTCATTTGAATAAGATGAATGAAATTAATTAATTAAATTAAATGAAGCGAATATCAAAATGAAATATATAAAAGTTTACGATATCAAAGAAATTAAAAAAGTGAACAAAATGGAAATATTTTATTTCCATATATGATTATTTATTATGATTATTATGATAACCATATGATTATTTACTATGATTTATTTTAAATATTCCGAATTCAGCGAATCAGTAATATTTCAAATATTCCGGATTCAGCGAATCAGTAATATTTCAAATATTCCAAATTCGGCGAATCAGTAATATATTTCAAATATTCCGAATTCAGCGAATCAGTAATATTTGAAATATTCCGAATTCAACGAATCAGTAATATATTTCAAATATTCCGAATTCAGCGAATCAGTAATATTTGAAATATTCCGAATTCAACGAATCAAACAAAAAATAAGTAAAGTGTTCAGAGAATGAACTAATTTAAAAATAAAACTAACAACAAACAAATTCACTGATATAAAAAGACAAAAAAACATCTGACAATTTATCATTTTCAAATATTTCACGTAATAAAATAATTGAAATTAGCATCATATAGTATATTTGATGCTAATTACTACTAAAGTAGATGAAAAAGAATTTCAATTATTTTATTATTACGTGAAATAATTAAAAATGAACGTGTAAAAATTTTTGCTGAAAAATATTACCCAAAAAGCGCTTAATACTCTAATACCGTGCAATGAATTTAAATGTCGATTACGGGGACGTATCAAATAATGATATGTGGAACGAATGCTGAATGCAAGTATCTGAATTTTATCATTTTATGATATTGAAATTATAATTTTGCGAAAAAAATGCAATATGTTGAAGATATTAAGAATACGTTAACAGTAATTGAAGTACTATCCTAAATCTGTTATGATAAATCTAAATTTAAAGAATACATTGTATTTGATAGAATATCTTATCAATAAAAATAGTATCTGTGCATTTTTGAAGTGATGATTGTTTGATCGATATTTCTATCTAAGAATTGTGGTATCTTAATTAAATTGAAAATCATAAAATGAATTAAATTTGCGATACTCACACTATTAACGAAGCAACTTGATTTTTTTAATGTCCTTCGTACAGCTGGTATACTTTTGTACGTAAGTGCTTGTGATGGAACATCGCTGTATATGAAACTACGTGCGTCATCTTGAACGTATGGCGTACAAATGGAAGACATTTGTGATGATATGTTTGTCATCGGTCGTATGGTCATATGACTACAACTTTCAGACGATTCTAAAAATTATAAACATGGAATAAGATAAATTTATGGGCTCTAAACTTCAATTGCTTATTTTTTGTCTTTAAATTTTCATACGGTATATTACAGTATGTTGACATTAATTAACAGATTAGAAAAAACATTTTATTAAATTAACTTTATTTTTTAAAAGCTTTTAAAAGAATGATATTTTCCGTTCTTCGATTTTCAATTTTAATTTGGAGTTTTCTTAAGTACTAAAATAATTACTAATATGAATTGAAAAATGAAGTGAATAGATGTAAATGAAGGAAGAAAGATGAATGGTATTGTAATCATACATATTGTAATCACAGTATCATAAATCGCAAGTGCTAATACTGCTAACCATATTTTTCAAATATAATAATTTTTTGTGAGAAACATTATCTTATTTAAATTTTCGGAATTTAAACAAAAAGATATCAAGTGCTTTAGACTAAAATATTCTAGTAGGCCTCGAGTTAGGTAATATTGTAAGAAGTATTTTCTTTGGTTTATCCCCTACCTGAAACGGAGCAATTCTAAAATGTCCTTTCTTATAATGGACCTTTTAGAGATTTCTCTAGAAGACTATCATTGATCAATTGTTTGGCTGTTATCGATGGTCAATTCATTTTTTAACTTTGAACGGTTTAAAGATTCATCAATTTAAGTGAGAAATAAAAATACAATTTTCCGGATGATTCTTTCCGTAAATGAATGGTAGAAGGAATGAAGATGTTAAGAAGCTTAAAAATTCACCGATCTAAAATAGCCCATAACAAATACCGGTTTGAAATAATCCATGAAAATTATCAATTAAAATAATCAGGGAAAATTATTCCTTTTATTACTTTCAGGTTAGAGAAAGGTTTGAATTTAGAAATGGATATAAGAGACCTTTATTGACTAAATATTTCCGATTGCGTCGTTTACGATAAATATCGATCAAAGTACCACAAAGTACCAATATAACAAGAAATGCAAGGATAGCAAGAATTATCCACTGCAAAATTTATTGAATGATATAATATCCTTCAAAATTTTCACTCGTTCAAAGTTCATGAAAGAATAAATCATTTAGTGCGAAATTTAGAAATACACCTGTTCAATATTAAGTTTGTTGAAAAATGAATCCTTTTGTTTGAAGCATTCAATAGCTGAATTGTTGGAAATTAAAATGCCAAAAGTTCTTTCCAGAAAAGAGGAAAGAATAGGGAAAATATTATTTATGGAACGTTCATTACAACGAATCGGTAAACACATTCCTGAAAATAATTGATACCTTTTTTTAGATTATCGAAATTTAAAATGTAAACGATTTACTATTGTTTAAGTCATTTCAGATTCAGATTTAAATTCCTTTTTCAAATTTAATTTAAAAATATTATAGTTTAATTATTATTTGGAACCATAGAAAAGTGGTATTATTTGATGTTGTTGCATTCCGTATGCTTCAATTCGAATATTTGCTCGACAATATTGAACTGAATAATTTGTGGTTATTGTTTTTGAGATACTTTGACACTGATCATAATCACCGAGCCAAAAAAATGGGCCTGATGAGTAAATACCAGCTGATGGACGACCCCAAGCATCCAAAACTTGAGGTAAATATTGATGAAATGTTAGCTGAGTATCATCTGTAAATGTTAGCTGAGCGTTATCTATAAAACACTGTTTTAACTTTGAGAAATAGATCATCTATTTTCGAGTTATATTCAGTTCTTTTAATTTTCAATTTTAAATCAAACAAAAGAATTTGATCTACAAAAATGATAAAATCAATTTTTAAACAATATATAAATTTGGCTAAAAAATTGTTCCTAATTAAAAATTAGAAAAAAGAAACGGTAAAAAATAAAATTTTAAAATTCTAAAGCAATCAAAATAAATTGGAAATCAATTTCTAATATTAAATTCAAAAAAAAAAATACCAAGTTTACAAATTTCTTAAGAACAAAAATTTTCACCAAGACAATGACTTATTTTCGTTTGATTCGGATCAGCTAAACGACAATATGTTCTCATCAATAATGCATTTGCTGTGGAAACAATTAATTCAGTGAAATCCATAATACACTCATCCATTTCATCTATAACTTATCATAAATCATATCAGATCAAAAGCATCAGTAAATGACACAAACAATAAATGATAATTCCATATCACTAATATCATCGTAAATCCTTTTTGAAATTATTTCAATTCATTCATTAATTCAATTTCATTATTCCAATATGCAAAATTTTTATTTGAAGTTTGCCGTATTCGTCATAGCTATCTAATTGTTGTCAATTCCGAAATTCAATTAAGTTTATCTAATCATAATTTAGATAATCTATCTAATCAATTAAATTAATTAGATAAATTATTTAAATTATCAGAAAGATAAAACAACGATTTTTCCTTTTACAAACTATACCAATTATTTTTATGGACTTATTGAAATTCTCTTTGATAAATGTCCAAATATTTCGATCTTTAAAAAAGTTTGTCAATTCGTCGGTAATATTGGTTTCTAAAATAATATCAGTTTTATTGAAAAAAAGAAATGAATTTCAGGAAAAATTTTTAATTACTGCAAATTCATTAATTAAAATTATGAATATTCCATAATTATATTAGACACAATCTTCATAACTATGATTGCTTACTAATATAATCAAAAATGTTGTCAAACAATTTACAACAAACAAAAACTTCATACGATTTTAATTTAACTTTTTTGTAGGAAGCCAAGTTAATGTTAGGATGAATTAATATATATATATATATATATATATATATGGAATATTTTAATCACCAATGAATTTTGAAATTGTAAAAGTAGTAAAAGTGAAAGATTCTAAATTGATGCCTTCATTAAACATAGTTATGGTACTCATTTTGTTTTCGATCCGTTTCGCAAATGATTGATTGTTGCGAATTATTTCAATTGGTCGCATAAAAGTATGGAGGAAATTGAAAAGAAGCGTTTCGAGCAGTAAGACATCATTTCGATTTGCTTCATTATCTGCTTATAATGCAAAAATTTACATATGAAAATCTAATAAGTGAAATTAAATTCAATTTGCGAAAATATCAAATTGATCCAATTATTTCTTGAAAAATATTTTTCAATGCTACTGATAGCAATTAATTAAAATTCATCTTTCTCATTCATGACATCTAATTAAGATCAGACTTAATTATTATTATTATAAATTCAACAAGGACAGGTAAATTAAGAGTGAAATTAATTGAAGTTAGCCTAAATCAATAGATTTGATCAATAAATAAAAATTATTAATAGCATTCATTTTCAACTTTTAGCCATAATTAATAATTTGACTTATAAAAGTTAGCAAATTATTCATTTCATGAATTTGTAATCTTTCAATTGAACAAACAAATAAGAATAATTTACCATGTACATTCTGAATGGTATATTCCGGAATTCGTACGATAACCGTTTGATATCCATCAATTACAAGAATAAGGATGAGGCATAAAGTATGAAATACCATACGATACGAGCAACCCATCCTTCACTTGTATATTTAATACAAATAACAGAATTTCATCGACCGCTTCATTTTATAATAATTTCTATTAAAAAGAAATTAAATGAATTTATATAATATTCAAGGTAATCAATAATAATTTAGTTATTTAATCAAGGAGAGTATTAAATTCATTGTTTTAAATACCAGTGTATCATGAATTTTTTAATTTCAAATAATGATTGATAAATGTTTATGATACTATTAATCTTCCTAGCTTGAAATTAAATTATTAACTTTTTGTAATTTAAATCAAATAATTGTTCAAATATTAATCTTTCAAACTTCTCGATTAGATAATTAATCATAATTGAATAACTCGAACTTAATATAAAATAACAAATACTGTAATTCATTAAAATTTTCAATCTCTTTTAATTACATTATTTTTTTATCAATTCCAGTTTTCTACCTTCTTTCATTTCCTAACTTAACAAATCGAAAAATTTCATTTATTTAAAAAAATCTATTTGAAAGTAATTTTCATTCTGAATTTCATTCATTTCAATGGATCGTTTTGGATATAATAATCCGTCTAATCGACTTTCCTTTACTTTTATTATTACTAAAACTTTTATAGTCTAAAACACTTTAAAATCTAAAACACTTCAAACTTCCTGTCATTTTTCCTCTTCACAACACAATTATAGGTAAATTGTTAGTTTATTGGCTTTTATCTTTCTTGGCTCTCTTGGCTTTATTGACTTTATTGGCCATAACAGCTTACTTAAATGACTATTTCAGTTGTTTGCTTCTTATTTTATTCATTCTTTTTATTTTTTAAAATAGTTTTTAGTGATATCAAAAAAAGGAAATATTTTAAGCAATGAATTATTTTATCGATGATGATTGAAGGAAACTATAAAAAGCTTTTTAAAATTACCAGCAAATATTCAGTAAGTTCGTAAGTATGCAATACTTTAGCATAGGTAATAGAGATAATATTGATTGCTTATTTTATTAAAACTTCGAAATGTAACTTATCGTTTTTGAATGGACCCAACATTATCATTTAGGTAATGATATATAGTGATTACTTTGATTAGTGTTTTATATATGGAAAGATTTATTTCATAGATTGAAAATCCTATAAACTAGTAACATAAATGTTTAACCCTTTTTTTAGACTGAAAGTAGATAAGTCAAAGTTCAATTCTTATTTTTGAAGTCGAGATTTTATGAAAAATCAACGAATAAAAGAATGAAGAAATGATAATTTACCATTAATAAGTTATCACTCAAATGTATGAAATTGATAAAAGTAAAGTAGTGCAAAGGTCAGATTATGCAAATTACAATTATCTAATTATACGTTACACTTACTTTTTTTTTACCTTAGTAAACAACTACAATAAACAAGTGAAATGTAACAATGAGACAACAAATGGAATCAATAGGACTACGACGTGATAGCTCAATCTTTAGTATTTGTTAGTCCTTTTTCTTTTCATGAAATTTTAATGTGATAAAATATATTTGATACTTTTTTGATTCTAATAAAAATTATCTCCAAAACAAAAAAAAGTTGACAATTAAAATTAAATTAATTAATGCAACAATATAGCAAATAAGCTATCACATGAAATTTATTTGTTAGCAAATGTTTTACAATAAAATCAAATTTTTACTTCGCTTCCTTTTAAGGATGCATTTATTGATGTTAATGTAATTTTGACTATTTTGAATTATATATATATATATTCATATCAATTAATTTCTTTTACTTCATTTTATAATATGATAATTGTTAAAATGGTTATTGCAAGCTATAATTGCATGATTTATAAATTTCCTAAAAGTTATCTCTTATTATAATTTTTATTTCTTATAATTAAGATATATTTATTACTTTGCAATAAGATTTTTATCATGCGCAAATGTCGCAACAACAAATCTTTTCTAACTCTTCCAATAATAATCTCATCATAATTTATTATAAATCAATCAGATTTCTTGGATGAAATTTCAAATAGCACCAAATAATATTATAAAGACAATTTATACATATTTAGAAATTGTCAAATTTTTAGATGAAAAACATAAACGTTTGGAAAATGATGGAAAGCGCGGTTGGAAACGTGTACAAAAAGCGCTTCCACGTATCATACACTATGGTCAAATTGAGGGTATACTACATAGAACAACTTCTGCTGTATGCTACATTTCGTTCTAAAATAAAATTGGGAAAATTTTTTTAATCAGAAATTTTGCCCATTATCGCAACAGCAGAATCAACAACGATTATCGCAACAGCAGAATCAACAGCAATTGTCGCAACAGCAGAATCAACAACGATTATCGCAACAGCAGAATCAACAACGATTA